ACAAAATCGGCAGCAGTGTGCGGGAGCAGATGGATGATAATCGAGACTACATAATATGGAAAGCATTTCTTGAACAAAATATATGAAAGTCATTGTTTCATCCGATACTAGATCAGGAATGGAAACCCCCATTGCTGACCTGTTGATACCGATAACTATTGATGTAAGTTGCAATTCAACAGCATCAGAATAGTCGCTGATTCACCATCATGACATAAGGTGCTTTGTATAACTCAATTATTGTCCATAAAAGAGCCGAGGTGGTGCAGTGGTTAGAGTGCAGTATTGCATGGTACTCCTTCTGACTGCCAGCTGCCTGTAATTTGACAGTTCAAATCTCACCAGGCTCAAGGTTGACTCGGCCTTCCATCTTTCCGAGGTTGGTAAAATGAGGGCCCAGATTGTTGGGGGCAATATGCTGACTCTGTATACCACTTAGAGAGGGCTGTAAAGCTCTTTGAAGCGGTATATAAGTCTAAGTGCTCCTGCTATTGCTATAAAAGCTCTAGTTATATTTCACTGATTGTAGCTATTCCCGTAATCTTACATAAATTTTCCCTTCTCGGTTTTTTAATTTGACAGAGAAGCTGATGAGTTTTCATCTTTTCTGGAGAACCAAGCATCCCCAAAGTTCCAGTTTTCCCTGTTCAGTCCTTTGCTAATGTATACCCAATTTGTTTTGAACAAAGATAAACATCACTGTATTTCCTTGTTCATTATTTTTGAAGGCAATGCATTATTTCTCAGCTTTGGGGTTTGCAACAGAACTCTACTTGTATCCCAGACACAATTAACCCCTACAGTCCTTTATACTAGGATGCTTGATAGCAGGGTGGATTTGATTTAAATCGAGTTGATTTAAATCATGATTTAAATTATGATTTAAATCACTAGTAAAAAGACTTGATTTAAATCAACTCGATTTAAATCATAATTTTTAAAGAGCAACCGTCATCTCTGCTACTCCTTTGACCCGCTGTTGACTCACCGATAGTCCCAGTGTTGCAGAATATACAGCCTTGTGCTACATAACTAAGCTCCATTTCATGCTGAATAAACTAAATTATTTATGTATCTTAAATAGAAAACTATCTTACGATAGATTTTTACCCCAAAAGTTTTTTATTAAAATAAATTCAATAAAAATAAAAAAAAATCTGATTTAAATAAAAAAATCCGATTTAAATAAAAAAAATCGGATTTTTTTAATTTTTTTAAAAAAATCATTGATTTTTATCCACCCTGCTTCATAGGGTTGCAATCTGGCTTAAAGCAAGAGCACAGTTAATTCTGTAAGTATAACATTTGGACAAAACTCTAACTAGCTTAAAGAAATTCCAATAAACATGTCTTTCTCCAAGCTGGTAACATATACTAATAGTTCCCACATGAAATCCTCTAAAGTGGTAGTGAATCCTTGGAGCACTTATGTCATTAAGTATAAACTGCAAAGGCCCCTGGATGGTTAGCTTTACTAAAGTATTGCAATCTGAACTCTCAAGGGCCAGGAAGCAATCTCTTTATATTCTTTAGACTCTTATTGCCAAAAAAAATTGTCATAAGAAGGTTAGATCATTTTGCTGGTATGAGGCAAGTGTTGAAGAGAATAGTACATGAAAGACAAGCAGAATTTGAATAATTAAATAATGTTTCCTATAATAGCTACATGAGAAGACTGATTTCTCTTCTTGCCATCTTCACAAAATCACTTAATTTTTCAGGTGTTCATTTTGCCTTTCTCTCTCCCACTACATCTTTTGGTAATTTATCATACCTCCCTGGTGCACACCAGAATCATAACATGCATTTAATGCCCATAGCTGTGGCCACAGGTCAGAAAGAGGCATTATTTACATTTTCTTCCCTGCACAAGTGTGGCATAATATCATCTGCGGCACTGTTAACTGGAGGTGGGAAAAACAGAAGTGCTAGAATTGGCTTATTTGTGTAAAAAAATGAATTAGCAAGATCAGGATGACGGAGAACATCAACATAAAACAAAACAGCACAGATTGATATCTTCAGTTTAGCAGACTCTTTTAGTACTTGGCAGGTCTTGTATGGAAGCAACTGTGGATCAAGGGAAGCATATTTTTTTGTTTTTACTTATCTGGAAATCAGAGTTCACATAGGTCCATAATTCTGGCTTTTCCTTTTTCTGACAATTGACTGACAAATTTGTCATAAGTCCTTATAGTGTTCCTCAGTTAGAAGGGAGTTAAACACAATGCTGTGCTGAATCTTAATAGGTTTTTTTTCTGGCATTCAGTATATACAAAACTTCTATCTGAGGGTAAATAGAACATATTTTTAGATATTGCCAGGGATAATCACTTAATAATTTGCCATTCTAATGCATGTTTTTGTTTTTAACTTACTGATCTATTTTGCCAGAGCTTTACTACAGTGAAAATCTGCAGAAAGAGGACATACTGTTTTCATCTGTAAAATAAAAACCAACAAAAGAGTAGCTCTGTATTAACTTTGAATCAAAGTTCTGCCAATGGAGTCAAGAAAATAATAAGCATTAAACTTGTCATAAAAGTAAATGGTAGTTTGCCCAGAAGATTAAGCAAAATAAAAATAAATATAGACACACCTTTCTCAGTGTGGCATCTTATAAAGAAAGTTGCTTTCAAAGGAGAGGAAATTCATGAAAAACTTATGAAAAGCTGGTTTTGTTAATAAACAAACACTTTTCTCTATGTGGGGAAAATGTTGCTTATATTTTTGCTTGCTGCAAATGTTTTGAATCTCCTAATCTTGCTTCCTCCAAATATATTTTTAAAAGCTAGTATCAATAGAAGAGATTTTCTTATATACACTGCACTATTTTAAAATAGCACATACTTCCTTACAGGTCGTAGGCAGAGAGTTAATGTTATTTGAAAGAACAGTGAGTAATTGAAAGTTCTTTATTATCAGTTTTTTATCAGTCTCATCCTCCTATTCTTTGCTCTGAATTCAGTCAATCCTACAAGATTTTATTACACTGATGCTGACTCCTGTTTTATAAAATGATATTTCCTTTATATTTCACATTGTTTAAGAGCATGTAGGAGCATATCTTTATTCTTTGACCTTAATTTGTCTCTAAGGAGAAAGTGGCAGCTAATTTTAGTTATTTATTAATTTATAAACTCTCAAAAAAAGAAAGAAAAAGGGAACACAAACAGCTTACATTAAAAGAAGTCTTACCTTCCCAGGATAAATTTTCAAACATAATTCATTTGACAAAACAAGAAATAAAACAAGAAAGATGTTGTGAGCTTTTATCCCTGTTTATATTATAAATCAAACAACACTTCTATTGAATTTGGAGAAAGAACTTTTAAAAACAAAGCCACATTATCATTGCATACACTGTTGGGCACCTCAAACTCACTGAATGCCACCCAGAAGTCCTGAGAATAGATCTTCAAGCATTTGAAGAAAAATAAATACCTATGAGACCTAGGTGATTTATTGGGACAGGAGGTAGCAATAGAACTTAAGAGTTATATACGGCTTCTCAGTGCTTTACAGCCTTCTCTAAGCGGTTTACAGTGTCAGCATATTGCCCCCAATAATTAGGGTTCTAATTTTACTTCAAAGTTCTACATGTACCAGAATGTTTCAGTATATGTTTTTTGCTTGTGAAAAAAGAAAAGATGCCCTTCAACACATGCCATTTATAGTGTTATCTATCTTCTCTTTCTCCCATATGTTTTTTCCGGTACTGATCAATTTCTGCGGTTGGTGGCTATCTTGTTACTCTATTGTTGCCCTGCAATTGGGAATGGTTCTTTGGAGAACAGGGCATGTATCTTCTTGGCCTCTGTTTCTATAGTGTGTCTCCTTAGCCTGTTAGCCAGGACTGTGAGCCTTTGTTTAGAAGTCTCTAGGGCTTCAGATGGAGGCAGGCCCTTACTTTTTTTTTTCAGTAGCCAGCTCTTTTTCTTAATCTCCACACACCTTTCTGTGGTTCCACAACTAACTTCTTTCCAAGTTGCCTTGATCTTAGTTTCCAATCTCATTATCTGGGACCGGGCTGGGGGGTGGGCAGGGAAAGGACTGATATGTACTGCTCTTCTTTTTTATCATATAACCAAGCATCTCTAGAATTATAGCTGCTATAGCATATACAAATTGAATGGTTGTATTATGGTGGATTGTTGTGAAGGCTCTATTGGTATCTTTTAGCATACTGTCTGATGGTACTTCTCCAAGGTGTCTTATTAATTGGTTTCAAGGGTCGACTGCAGTTTCATTATCCATGATCTTATTTATTTTATTACTTTCGATTTTAGCTGATATATCCAGAATTTGATATTCTTCTCCCATCCAAATTCTAACCAGTCCTGAACTTGCTTAGCTTTTTAGGCTAGACAAGATCACTTGCATCTGCCACCTGCTAAAATCTTACTAGACTATAATATAAAATAATAGGTCAAGGAATGGAGTACCTAAGTTAAAGAACATAATGTCCATAATGTTCAGTCCAGGTATGTGTTTTTGTATTAGGAGCCACAATTCGTAATAGGAATATCTATCCCAGGTTTTTTTAAAATAATGATAAGATTGTTGAAGGATTTTAGGAGTCAAATATTTTGCCAAATTATGCAAACTTTACAGATATCTTGCAATATATCCCAATCTTGCAATATATCCTATTCGCAGAACAAGGTTGACTTGTTCTATACTTGCAAATATACAGAAAACATAATCTGCACCAAAATGATTTTAGGGCACCTCTGTCTTCTCAGTTAATTTCTTTTTAAACCTTTTGTTCATTCATAGCTCATAGAATGACAGTATTGTTCATGCTGAATTTGTATTGACCGTTTATCTTCTGTTACACAAAGAAAGCATAAGATATGTTGCCTGGTATTCTTTGATATTATCCTTAGTAAGGGACAATGACTAAGGGACAATGATTTATTTGAACATAAAACACTCTTCCTGTAAAATATGAACCATCTGAGTTTATCTTGGCATTCTTTTTTCCCCTTTGTTTACAGGGACCATATTTATACTGTTGATATGGATTCATCACACACAGAAGAAATTTATTTTAGCAAAGTAAGTAGTTTCTGCTATTCACAAGTCAAGGACAATAAAAATAAAAAAGTAGAAAATAAATAAGAAAAAATACCCTGTTCCTCAGGTTTTCCAGACCTGCTTTAAAATTGTAGTGATTATACAAGCAAAGTGCATACATTTGCCATTTTCATTATGTACTTTGGATAAATAATTTAACTGGGATTATAAGCAAGATTTTTACATTACAATAGAGGCACATGGTCATTCCAACATTTTTACTTGTCATGCAGCTTTGATTGACTTCTGAGATTTTATAGTAAATATAAGTTACTCAACAAACTCTACTTAAATAGTTTAATTATCATACTTTTATAAGGAATTAAATAAATATACTATATTTACAATACAATATATAAATAATCAGCAGTATATGAAATGTTCAGACATATAGATACTAAACGCACTGGCTGCTCCAGAGAGGCTGAGATATCTTATTATTTTTATAATTCTTCATCAAGACTACAAATACTCAATATTAAAGATAATTTTGGGATTAAATATCCCAAAATTAATAAGACATGTGTATGTGCCATAGTTAAGGAAGGGTTAAAAAAAACCCCACTCGTTTCAGCACTTGAGCACTTTTAGTATCCTAGATGTCATCTATTACATCATATTCAAGACAGATGATACAGCTAAAGGGTAAGATGACACAGCTGAGGGGAAAGAAGGATAATGCAATTTCACCAAAAATATTAAATTGCAAAAATGCTTAACTACTGAATTATAGATATGGGTGGAAATATGGTCCAGAATCTTAATATAACTGTTAGCTTTAATGGCATTTTAGATATCATTTGTTTGTAGCATTACATCAAGCTTGTATATTCATAAATATTGCAAATATTTATTTTCAATATTTCTCATTTAAGAGCAAGTATCTTAAAACTGTTGTGCTCATGAAGGTAAAATCAAGCAGAACAATAAATAAGTTGGGCTGAAATTTATTTTCAGATAAAATGGTATACAAAATCTAAGTGATTTTGTAAGCAAAATGAAAAAAAAAGTTTTCCAATGGATTCTAAATGAAAAATGCATGAGTAAAACAGTGACAAATTCTTCTAATGTTGCTCTGCTTGCTTGACTAGGAATGCATGTCTTTGTGAGAAGCTAAATCTGCATAAAATAGTGTATCTCCTATTTCTGTTCCCCATTTTTGTGAGAACTGGGGCCAAGAACCATGTAAAATAAATATTCAGTTTTATTGTAAATGTTTGATGGCCCTTTGCCTTGAAATGTACCATTTCTGAAAATCAGAGCAGTATATGAAATGTTCAGTTTAACTGAGATTCAGATACTCCTTTGTTTTTTTTCAATGACAATTGGCAAGGGTATACATGTCTTCACTAAGATGGCAAAACACCATCGGTAGATAGGTTTCTTCATTGTTTTTTCTCATTCAGGATCCATTGATAAACAGTCTATTGCAATTTTGTCTAGGTACATCAATTTTTGACTCATTGTTAGAGTTTCACGAAAGTCTTTTTATAAGTGAAATCTACTGAAAGTGCCTTAGACAGGTAAAATCATTGGCCTTCTAGATGGGATCATTTATAATGATTAGCAATGGCTCTATGGTCTTTCCAACACTGTCTGCGAGTGTAGATTTTTTTTTTTACATGCAAACTTGTTTTCTGGCATTCATATCAGAAGCTGTCAGACTGCGTTCCAGCTTTGAGTTAAGAGATAACTCTGGTCATATTTCTTTGTTCCTCCAGAATGAGCTCAAATATAATGCTCTGCACAACTTCGAATCAGTGGAGAGCATTTCTAACTCAGTTTATTTCCCTAAACATTTTATTTGACTAAACACTACTTCCAAACAACAATAGGGAATATTTTATCTACTGTATATGAGTGTGTTTTAATTTTTGTTAAAACAGAACAATATTATATGTGGGGTCCTTGGTGCTTTCTGAGCTTGGTTACAATTTATATTGATATTTTTTCCTGATTGCTTATTTGTACCCTATGACTATCATTAAGTGTTGTACCTTATGATTCTTGATGAACATATCTTTTCTTTTATGTACACTGAGAGCATATGCACCAAGACAGATTCCTTGTGTGTCCAATCATAGTTGGCCAATAAAGAATTCTATTCTATTCGTACTCTTATAGTTATTCCATTACCAAACAAGGTAACATCAGTGCTAGAAAAACTAGATAACCTCCACAGACCTTTTAATACTGATTACATTACCTAGTTTAGTAAAGAAATGTCTACAAAACTTAGAGAGCACCATAGAGCTTACAGTTCAATACTAAGCTATACATTTTCTCTTGCTCTTCTGTTGGTACAAAATTATATGCCTCTATTTGTATGTACGCATATTTATATACTGTATATGTATGTGTGTACATTATGCTGTACACACACATGCATTTGTGCAAAAATATTTATATCAACAATCACATTTATACATACATACATACATATATATATATATATATTTGTTTTCGTAAATTTTCACGGGTAGAGGTATGCAAGTTTTGGTGTATTCGGGTCTTTTCCCATGTAAGATTGATGGTATCTTGGCAACGTTTCGACGAGGTCCCACTGCACCCCCTCCGATCCCCACACAAAGCAAACTGACACACGTCATGAACAGATGGCAAGACCTCAAACTCGGAGCCAAATCAAAGCCCGGGATGTGGCATCACAGCCATCTGCTCAGGACATTACATCAAATAACTCAGGATATCACAACACTAGAACTCAGGATGTTAACACACAGCCCATTACCCAGGTTGTTAAAACACAAAAAACTAATGGGCACACATCAAGGACCTCACCCACACAGGATGTTACGAAACAGATGACTAATCTGCAAACATCAACTCCATCAACCAATCAAGATGTAACAACACAGGCAACCAACCCGCTCACAGCAACAAAGCCAGCACCCCACACCTCCCCACCAGTATTTATAGAGCTTCGGCAGCTCCGATCATGCTTTCCTCGCACAACCACGAAGCCAAAGACACCAGCCTGAAGATGACGAGTGGGACCTCGTTGAAACGTCGCCAAGATACCATCAATCTTACACGGGAAAAGACCCGAATACACCAAAACATATAGAGAGAGAGAAAGAGAGGGAGAGAGAGAGAGAGACTATATATATATAGAATATATATATATATAGAATATATATATATATATATATAGTCTATTCCAAGAGATAAAAACAAAGAGTGTGTGTTGTAATATTTGTTTGTTAACAAGCACCATCAGAAGTAGAGAAAATATTATATAATTATAGTATTATATATTATATAAATAGCAGTCAATTCTAATTAAATGTTCTACATCCATAAGGCTTCTGTGCTAGAGTAAGTCAAGCATAGAATAAGTATGTAATGTTTTCGATAATTATATATTCAATAGCTAGTTTTCCTTTTGAAATTAAATACAAACACCCCAGGCTCTAATTGATTTCTTTCTGATCCCTGAAGAAATTGACATGGAAATCCAGACAGCTTGATGTAGACACATGCAGAATGAAGGGAAAACATAAGGTAGGCAAATTTCATTTGTCTGGCAGATGCCACATTGCTCAGCTCCTTGACTGTTATCATATACTGCTCTCTGTGTTGCAGATTGGGTCATGCCATTTATTTCCTAGGTAGTCATTATTTTTTTCCAACAGTTTATTGAAGGTTTTAATTTTCAAAAAAAATGGTTTACTTGTAATGTAATGAAACATTATAACCAAAACTGTCAAATATTGTGAAATGAATAGGCATTAAGAAGCTTACTACCACTGCTAACTTTCTACTAGGAACTGATACAGGGGAGGGTTATACTTACTTTTACTACCGGTTCACAACGGGAGCACGCACACTTCTGCTCATGCGCAGATCGTCATTTATGATGTCTGGGCGGGTGGGTGGAGCCTCCCACTGCTTTTACTACTGGTTCTAAAGAACCAGGAGCAACCCACCACTGAACTGATATAATTCAGAGTCTTTATAGGTGATAAACAAATCATCTTAGGAAAACGTTTTAGCAATTTAAAATTTGATTCACTATGAATGACTTTAGATCATATGTATTTTGTGGGTTTTATTTTTTTCCTACTCTACCCAGACATTGTTCGGTAAGACATGAGACAGGATGTACAAGAATCATCAGTCATGCTCCTGATTAGATTACTGTATTTAAGCCTACATTGGTCTGTCCACAAAACTTCACATGGTGCAGAATGCAGCCACCTGCCTGTTTATAGTCTAATCCCAGTACAGGTAGTCCTTGATTAATGACCATAATTGAATCCGAAATTATTGTCGTTAAGTAATTGCTGTCATTAAGCAGGTCACCACGTGACCACATGCCTTTTTTGTGACCAAATGATCACTGACTTTACTAGTTTTTTACATCAGTCATTAATCAAATGCTGCACTAATTAAGTAAATCCATTTTATCCAATGGATATTTTTTGCCAAAAACTGGGAGTAAATATCAGAAATCAGCAAAAAAAAAAAAGAGTCAAAAATCGTGTTTATGTGATCACGGGATGCTGCAAACGGCTATAAATGTGAACCAGTCGCTAGGTGCTCAAAATGTGATCACATGACCTCAGGTCTGTGCGTGTCCATCAAAAATTCTATATTAGGTCATAAGTACTTTTATCAGGTTCACCTGATCCACCAGTTGCGTCCCTTTCTGGACCGGGACGCCTTGCGCACGGTCACTCACACCCTCATCACTTCCCGTCTGGACTACTGTAATCCTCTCTACATGGGGCTCCCCTTGAAGAGCACCCGGAGGCTCCAGCTGGTCCAGAATGCGGCCGCGGGGTGATTATGGGGGAGACTCGATGCTCCCATGTAACACCGTTCCTGTGCGAGCTGCACTGGCTCCCGGTGGTTTTCCGGGTGCAATTCAAGGTGTTAGTCGCCACCTTTAAAGCGCTCCATGGCATAGGACCTAGATACTTACGAGACCGCCTTCTGCCTCCAATAGCCTCCCATCGACCAGTACGCTCCCATAGAGAGGGTCTCGTCAGGGTGCCGTCGGTTAGACAGTGTTGACTGGCGACCCCCAGGGGGAGAGCCTTCTCTGTGGAGGCACTTGCCCTCTGGAATGAGCTGCCCCAGGAGATTCGTCGGATTCCCAACCTTCGTATCTTTCGCTGCGCCCTTAAAACACTATTATTCCATCAAGCAGGGCTGGCCTAAAATATTATTTTTAATGAGTTATTTTATTTTTTATTTTAGATTATTGGCCAAACTATCTAATAATTTTAAATTGTTTTTAACTTTTATATTGTTGGCTGTATACCTCCCTGAGTCCTTCGGGAGAAGGGCAATATAAAAATTTAATAAAACTAAACTAAACTAAACTAAACTACTTTTTAGGGAGTCCTTTGTAACTTTGAATGGTTGCTAAGCAACAGGTCTTTGAACGAGGATTACGTGTATTGCAGTGTCTTGCACCTGCTGCAATAGTTGCATTTTCTGTGGCATTTTCCCTCATCTGGATCAGCCTCTTCTCTTACTTTTAATGACTGAATGTAATATGTTATTTATTATTATTGTTTTTATATCTATAAATGGCCCAGGATGCCCCAGTGTATAAATTGCATAATTATATAGACATACTAAGATTCTACATACTACATATTCTTGATTCATGATTGTCATTAAAGTACATTTTCTCCAATAAACAGCAGCACAAAAAGACAAGTATAATCCTTAAATCCCTGATAGCCATGTTACTCTAATGCCACTCAGGAAATCCATTGTTGCCTTGTTTTCCAAATGGCAGGAAAATTTGCTGAAACAAACAAATTGGTATATTTTATTTAATTGTATCAAACATTTATGATGTTAATTGTTGTTCAGTTCTTTCCCTTTTTTTAATCCTTTTGGCAGGATGAATGTCATAACTTTATTAAGGTTCTTCTAAAACGAGATGATGATACATTATTTATTTGTGGGACAAATGCCTTCAGTCCTTCCTGCAGGAATTATAAGGTAAGCATCATATTTGTAAAACAGCATAAATAATTGGAGAGGTTTTGCCATTAGTTTTTATAATGGTACGAGAGCCAAAAAGTACAAAACCGTGTTCAGTGAAATTCCTTCTTCCTCAGAAAGTGGTTCTTCAACTACAGAAAGTAACACAAGACCTCTTGTAAAGTCGCTGAAGCGTAACCACCCCCATTCTGAGGCAGAGCTTTGAGCTCTGGCAGGGTTCATTAAGTCTCGTCTCACAGAAAGGACCTTCCAATATAGAAATGAAGCAGGAATAGTATATTTGCATGGAACTTAATATTAAAAAAAATGCTTGATTCTGAACCAAAAAGAAAGTTGCTGCTGAAGGAATTGAATTTTTTTTTTTTCACAATTCGTTTGGGATCTGTATTTAATGCAGAATAACCCAGATCATATTTGGTTGTCTCATAAAACATGATACTGCAATTTGGTACACTCACGGTATCCCTTTGGTTGCTGCTAATTAAAATGCAGAGACTTGAAAGTAGATGCCTGGAGCGAAGAATCGGCAGTTAACCCAAACATATGGAAGTAGGAGGCTAATTGTGGCTTTGTGCCCAGCCCAGCAGTCTTGCATACAGCCAACAGAGAGGACAGTGCAACAGGAAATTGGCTCGTCCAAAAGTGAAGAAGTCAGTACTCATCAGCCTTACTGGTCAGTTATCCAAATTTGTTCATAATAATAAAGCCAGCCACTTTCCTCTTCAGAGAATGGTACTTTCTCAGAATACCAATAAAATTCTCTTCTGTTGCTGCCATTTATTATTTAATGTCGGCTTTTCAAATTTTGAATTAATTCTTCTTTCGCTTATAACAAGTGATTCATCGAGACGGTTTCCAGGATCAGCTTCTCAGAGATCAGCCAGTTCAGCATTTGAGAAATAAGAAACAAACAAACCAACCACTGTTTAAAACATTTCAGATTCTAAAGAAAAGGCTACAGCCTTTCTCCAGTTTGAATATCATAATAGGGAACCCAGATGGTGAATATGAAAGGAATTATAATCAGAATGGGGTAATAATAGGACCCCATGGCTTGCAAAAAAAAAATGTTCTAAAAGAATCTTAGGGGGTAACCCTCCCAAGTTCATCTACTAAGGAATGTGCACACTGAGCACTCAGTGGCCACATAATGCTGATTGTCATGGGGGAGGTAGAAGTTAAGCACAGTGATAAAAGACAGCATAGTTTGTTCATATGGCATAACATATTTCTTGATTCTTGTTTACTATTTCCCTTAATCATTGGTTTTGCATTTTCTAAAATCACATAAATGCTTATACAATTAATGTTAGCCTAAAATTCTTAAAAGTATGAACTAAAATCCTGGGGAGGGCGGAGCTGCAGTGTATTCCTAGAAGTGATTTACCATTTTCTCCTGTGTCCTCTCAAAAAATATATCTTGGATAAACTTGGAATTAGAATCTAAGATGATTGTTAAAGCAACTGAATACTCTAATAATTGGGCACTACACATTCACCTCAAAGGGAAAAAAGCAGGCTTCATCGAGCTTATTGTGGAGCCATAAAAATTATTCCTTCTGTTTTCCTTTAGCAAATGGTTGCTCTTAAGGTTATATATTGAAGTCTCTTTCTTCTATGTGAGAGCGTGTGGGCGCTTACGGTGTTCTGTTTTGTTTTTACTTTTAGTAACTTAAAGAGAATGGATAGGGAAGTACTTGGATCCTAACTCAAAACATGATGTTTGAACATATTGAATTGGCTGTATTCCAATAATACAAAGTTTGAAGTATTTTTACTATTTACCCACAGAAAACACTGGATTTTTATTTATTTTTTTGTCCAAAGGCTAGAAATGTAGGTGGGTGGTAGTCTATTCTGAATGCTACTTACATTCTCTAGAAAAATGGATGAAAAGATTATTTTTAAAAAAATGATGTAGTCAAGTTGACCAATTTTATTTTTATTTCCATTTTTTGCTATGTAAAAATATAGATGCAAATACAGATATAGATACATCTTCCTACCATTCCTCCTTTGGTCATTTTTTTTGAAGTTAGGGAAAAATAATAGTATTCAATAGGTAATACTGTTCTATTTTTTGTCAGGTTCTGAATAGTCAATCACTGAATGTTTCAAGTTCAGAATATTTTGCACATATAGTTCAGGAAACCATTTTAGTACTTTCTGAAATAAATTTGCCAGACAAATTTCAGGCAGCTCCCACTGGAAAAACTGTTATTTTCTACCTACGTCTTTTAAGATGGAGATGAAAAGATAATGTGAGGGATATTAATAGACTTTTCATTATTTTTGCAAATATAAATAGAACCATGCTGAATTTTTCACCGACTGCTGTGCTGTCAGAGAGTTTTTGCCCAGTAATACATTGAGATTTTAGAAGGCCAATGAAATACCTAAGCTAATATATTAGAATGTTTGATCTGTAAGCCTTGGCACTACCGTCATGTCTCAAAAGCCTATGTAAATATACAGATGGGCCTGGAATGTTCTGCGCTATACGAAGCGCCTTCCCTTCTACCTTTCCTTTAAATATGTTTCCATTCTAAAGAAGACATAAATGATTCCATTTAGAAAGTCTAGAGAGAGATGGTATAACAGGTTGGAGAAAAAGAAAGGAATATAAAAATAGGGACACAAAAGAGAGGTTGAAACTTATAGACAAGAATTGGGTACCAATTAAGAAAGATAGTTAATTTAATATGGAGTTTATGATATTGTCTTATACGTAAATATACTGTATAGATATATAGATAAGAATATAAATACAGTCTTATCGATGTGACAAATTGGAAAAAGAAGTCGTAAGACTTGATTCATGTTTATTTGTTTTGTATGTTGTATTGTTGTATCTATGTTTGTTCGTTATTTTTAACCAATAAAAAATTAAAAAAAGAAAAAAGAGTCTAGAGAGAGAAGTTGCATGACAGGAAACAAATGATGACAAATCATCCAATGTTTGAAAGAGGTCTCTCAACCCATGGGATTGACAATTGATTGGATGAGACTAATGATGCTTAGATGCCTTATTATCCACACTAGTTTTTCAAATTTCTTATCTTACTTTACTCTGTTGAAGTAAATTGAATATGCTAGGTAGATCTGAACTGATATAAAGCAAAAGTCACCACTGAGTAATCATAACACACTTGAATCTTAAAGCCCGTAGGCTTTGCACTTTTCCCTGTGGTTTCCACTGTAAACCTGCTTTGCGTTGAGCTGCTTATTTGTATAATTATTGCTGCTCGGTAGAATATTATTTTCCCAGGGGTTGCACTTAAAGCTGAGATTTTAAGTACTTCACAGATTAATTATTGACAGAAGAAGAATGATTTACACATGATACTAGTTCAAATCAATTCTGTAGAAGCTTTTCTGAAAGAGAATTTTTTATAAAACTTGTAAATTATATGGGGAAATAGATTGGATCTTCAGTGATTGAGAACCATAAAAAATGGTTCTCCTATACCATCCTATGAGAACTTGATCATTTGTCATAATCACATTTGATCAGCCTTACTTATAATTCAGTAGCAAGATTAATTTGAAAAATGTTCATAGAAGAATGTTCACCCAACCTCTTTACTCCTTGTAGCTTTACTCCTATAAGCTAGCTCAAGGAAGATGCTAAAGCGGTGCTGATCAGTCTTCCTAAATTCAGGACATCACAGAATATTTCCAGACATGTGCGAGATTGGAATGAAAAGTAGATAGAAACGGAGGCAACATGATGCCTGAGTTTTTCTCTCCTTGATTAATTTCAGTATATCTGATGGGATAGATTATCTGAGCCTTGTTAGTTTATTCTGTTTCACATCTGTGAGCCTTGCATAGTTTTTAACCACTCTTAGATTTGAGAAACCACCTTCCACAAACACATTGCTGACAGAAACCCGAATTCTGAAAGTTAAAGGGATGCTACACAGCACTATTTTTCAATTAGGCATCTATAGTACTACTGGTAGTACGAAGTAGCAATTCAGATGAGATACACCTCCCCTTTCCAAATTAGAAAAGTGCATATGAGAGAAAGAAGAGCAGAGGATGACAAAACGGCCAATATCCACCTGACTAGACAGAGGTAAAACAAACTGATCTTCTCAGTATTACGTTTACTGAAATCCAAACAGCCTTTGAAATGATTGAGCCTCGGTGGAAAAATAAACCCCATAGCCTAGCAAAAGATACAAGTAGGTACCTCTAATTATTTGGATATATTTTTGGTCTTGGGCTTAGGGGAAGATTGTGCTCAGAGTGGCAAATGTTGCTTTAGCACCAATTATCTTGGTAGGACCTAGGGTATTTGACCAAGAAATTGAGGCTATAACTTCTAATCTATGAACATTTTCTCAATGTTTGTACAGTTTATTGCTATAGCTTTAAAATGGTCTTACACAGCATAGATAAAGAGCAAGTCTCCTTCATGCTGATTTAATTGTTTATAACTTCATGGATACATCCATGTAATTTTCTTGGCCACCTTTTTTCAACTTCCCAATCTAGCCGACAGGCTTGAAATTGCTCCCTGATCTCACATCCAAGTAATAACTAAGTGTAACCCTGCTTAGCTTCTTGAAATAGCCAATGTCAGTTAGACACAGCCATTTAGGTGGCTTCTCTGATACAAAGAACTCCCAAAAAAAAAAAAAAACAATTCTCATGCAAGATCCCTGTCAGTCCTATTAGTTTGTAAAGAAATATGATGTTTTGTTTTTCAGATGGATACTTTGGAATTTCTGGGAGATGAATTCAGTGGAATGGCTAGATGTCCTTATGATGCAAAGCATGCCAATGTCGCACTGTTTGCAGGTAACATAAAAGGATAAAAATATACTCTCTTATAATGAGGTGCTTAGAGAGTACAATTATCGCTCTTTCCTGAGATATGTTTATGGGCAGTAGGGGGTGGAATTATCCATTTATGGGGTATCACATGGCTTAAACTAATTAGCTAATAGTCAAACAAATAAACATGGGATTCTCACTTTGGAAAATAAATTCGTTTTCTGTTGTATACTTACAGTGGTAAAGTATATTAACGTAACTTTGAATTAGAGTAGGCAGAAAATTATTTCATAAGATACAATACTTTATCTCAGCTGTTAGGATAACAAGCTACTATATGTGGCTTCTACTCTTTCCTGGATAAAATAGAAAGGAGAAGAAAGGAGAAACCTGGTGAGATTAAGCTTCTTGATGTTTTGTTGCCAGCTGAGGCAAAGGAGGAGACTGAAGTGGCAACTGTGGATTTAATCATGATGTATTATGCATGCAAAGAAATGCAATTAAGTCTTAATTCTTTTTGCAGTGGTTTAAAAATATGAGTATGTGTTAGCCGGGTTAATTTGAGCCATTGATTATAGAATGATATTTTAGAATTTTGTTCTTTATAGATTTTAGATTAAATTGTTTCAATACTGAAATTCTGTTAGCATCAACCCTTAGAATCCTATGTCAAAATTGGCATAAAATATTCAGCAATATTATGGAAATTACTTTGAATAACTATTCAGACTATTATTATTATTATTATTACAAAGCCTTGCTTTATTGTAGTGTAACAGAATGTGGGAAAGACCTTGGGAGATGGAATGAAGACATACAGCCTGGGGAGCAGTCAGACAAAGAGAGAGAATAGCCTGCAGTTGAAGAGTGGGCAGAGCAAGAAGTTCAGAAGCGACCCTCCCTAGTTTATTGAGCTGTAAAAGAGATGGAGGAGAATTGTACTTTCAGTCTTCCAATATTGATGTCAGCTTTACCAGTAGAGCAGATAGGAAAGAAATAAACAAATTTTACTTTATTATAAAGCTCCATTAATAGAACCTTGTAAATCTAAATGTGTAAATCTCCCACTATCTCTTAGAAACTTAGAGACAGTCTCTTCTGGGTTTCTTTCTCCATCGATTAAAGCAGCTGTGGACTACACCATCTCTTATTTGACTGTTACCTAAGCAGAATCTCTTCCCTCTGTTTCCCAAGGTCTTTTCCACATACCAATACAGATAGCCAGTGCTGCAGCACTTGAATTATAAAAAATATATTAAGCCACAAAAAATTTAATGTGGAAAGTTGAATCTATTTCCTAATCTTGATATTGTTAATTTACTTACTGCTCATATAGCCTTCTTCAATCTGGCACAGATGTATTGGACCACCTATTGCAGCAATGATCATCCTGGTTGGGATGATGAGATTTTTGGTTCAACATCCCTGGAGGTCACCAAATTAGAAAAAGCAGAAACAGCATTGCTGGCTATATAATAGAGTGGAGGAGAGAAAGATGACTTTCTGTGGGGCAGATAGAAATGGTCTCTGGAACAGAAGTTTAAGTATTCGAGCTTTTAGAGCACAGTAAAGCAAATTATTCATCTTCCACTTATAAGTGGTAGATTCAGATCCTGAAAATAAGTTTTGGTTTTAAAAGTTCCTCAGTAAAATAGCTGAATTAGCAAAAAGAATGTATTGATTTTTGGGCTGGGGGGAGACTACCATTCCTTCCCACTTTCCTGCTCCCACCCTTCTGATATTTCTTAAGGATTTGAAGACATTGCTCTGCCAGTTGATTTGGAGCCCCAACAGGGGGGTGTATCACGCTGGAGGTGGTTGACAGATTAAGGGAAGACCCCAGTCCTCTCCACTATGGGCATTCTGTTTTCTTCTTCCTCATCTTTTTAATTGTAATTTTTACTGTTATTAGAAATATTTACTTTTTGTGGTTTTATTGGCTTTTAATGTTGTGAGCTGCCCATAGTTACCTCGAGGCAAGATGGGCAGCAAACAAAACTAATAAAATAAATTTAGGCAGAGCTGAATAAATAACCAGAGAACTATAGGTGATAGAGAAGCAGCAAACATCTCTGGCATATGTATATGCTGGGACCCTACAGGCTTCATAACTCACCAATGGAGCATTCCTCCTTCTTAATTAAAAATAATGATTGAGATAAGAACATAGTTACGCAGAGATTCATGAATGTATCATATTCCTTTTCTTTTCAAATGCATAGTTTTTCCTGTCAGAATTATTAACATGAGTTGCTTTCTCTATATTTGAATTAAGACATAGATGTGAAGGGGAAGGATACAAGAGTGTTAGCTCTTTTAAAATTATCTAGTTGCACTACTAGGAACATATATTGATATATTCTACTGTTACGATTAGATCAGGTGTGTGATAGGTGCAGTCTGCAAGTGGGATGTAGTCCAAGGAAGGTCCAGGGAGATTCTTCCTCAGCTCTGCCTCCTTTTTGAGTGCTGAGAGGGAGAAGGACTTTTTATCCAAATGAGTCATTTACCCTAACCCAACAGTTTTCATGTCTTAAGACTCCTTGGATGGGATGTTTGCATGATTACCTAGCAGATACAATTATGCTGTTCTTTTTTTCTTCTTCCCTATCCCTGATTTCCAATTCCTCCCCAAAAGAGGGAAAGCTGTATTCTGCCACTGTGACAGACTTCCTTGCAATAGATGCTGTCATTTACCGGAGCCTTGGAGATAGCCCAACGCTGCGGACAGTCAAACATGATTCAAAATGGTTGAAAGGTAAATAAAGAGCTACAGGAAGAAGGGGGACATTTTGGATTACACTGTTGGATTCTCTGTAGACTTTGTTGTCTTATTTTACTTACTTCTGCTGTGCTTCTTCAAAATCTTGACCTTTAGTGATTGTTCAAAGAACAGGTGTTTAAAGCACAAAGAAACTGTACTTTATTTCAGCAATGCATTCTCTCAGGTAGAGGTACTGAATTGCCTTTTTTTTTACAGTACACTTGTTCCACTGATTTTTTTTTTAAGTTGCTAGGTATTCATACAAAATCACAAGAGCCACCAAAATAGATAGCATCCAATTAATTTTTAAAGGCTAGATATTTCATCAAAGATTGAGGACAAGGAATGGGTAAAGAGTTACTTTAGAACAGTGATGACACTATCATCTCTTCCCTCTGATGGGGCACTAGGCAATCTAAGCTTTGTGAAGTGTGGAGGATTTGTTCTGCAGTGTTGAGATGCACCAATAAAAAATAGAATATCAGAGCCTCCATTTTATTGTCAAGAAATAATGAATGAGTGCTGCTGAATTAGGCAATTTGTATGTTCTTAATAGCCTCATTGTTAAAAAAAAGTTGCCATTCATTCTTTTCCAATGGCATTATGAATGAATGCCACGCAGCATTATGTTGTTGTGGGAAAGGGGGCTTTTGTTTATAGACACAAAAATGCAAAAGAGAGAGACAGGGGGGGAGGAAGGGAGGGGGAGAGAGAGAGAACAGTTTGTAAATGATGTTTTTTCCAGTTCTTTTTTTGAAAACATTGCATTTTTATAAGCATTTTTAATTACTTCAATTTGTAACTATGTTGTTAATTCTCTTTGATAAGAATAATCCTGTGTCTGCAAATAAAATAATCTCTGATTTATGGGCCTACATAATTTATTTTGCCCTCCGAGTTAAGCATTATTTTTCTCACAATTTGGTAAAGGGTAAAATATATATAATTGGAGGACAGGTCAAGAATAAAGAAAAGATTCCATTGGAAATGCAAAACAAATATTTGATCCCCAGATATACATTATGAATGTGGTTTTCCAGCTTATTTTAGGGATATTAAACATTGTTCACATATTTCTAATCTCTTTAAATGTGTAAAAGTTGAAGATATGTATAGCCTTGTGAGTCCTTTTCAAAATTCCCATCAAAATCCCAGTTTCTATCTCTGTGAGTCTCCATACACTACTAGACCTCAAAACTTTTCATATTATATTTTAATCATATTTATGTTAATAATTTGTTGAGACAGTGTACCTTAGAGTCTTTTGTAGTCTTCATTCTAGGGACATGAAGTTACCCTGCAGGTTAGACAATAATAAGTGTCCTCTCTTTCCTCCAGTATAGAGATTTATTTGCTTTACCCCCACCCCCAGAAAAGACTCTATTGAACTAAATGCTTGCCCATGAGTATGTTCATCTTATCAGTAGAACTCCTTGCAGTTGTTTCTTTTAACTTGAAAGAGGTTGTGCATGAGTTGTTGGTCTCAGATCATATAAGCATTTCAGCACCATGTACATCTGTGTGTGCATGTGTCTGTGTGTGTCTGTGTGAGCGCGCATCCATATAGGTGAGTAATTCTATCTAAATGAATGGTCAAATAGGATATTTAATAGCCTAGCCTTCATTTGGTCACCCATCCACTGCCAAAATTAGAATTATATTTGAATACAATACCCATTGCTTCATTACAGACAGCATAGTTCTTAAGGCTACCTAAGCAATTGTAGCATTTTGAAGTTTTTGAATCTGTATACAACTAAAACTCTTGTGTCTGTTTGATTGTTTGCAACCTTCAATTGGGTGAAACAGTGCACCATTGGGCAACTATTTTAAAAACAATGTTCCTAAAATGGGTTAATTTACAGAAGGCGTCCAAAATTTGAGATCCATGGCTCCCACAGCATTGAAATTTGGCAAAGTTGTGGCTGCTTCAGTGCTGCATCACCACTTCACTGCTGCTGTCACCCAACATGTCATTTTCAGTGCTCCCTGCTAGCTTCCTACAAGGAAAGTCAGCTGAGAAGTTGGCAGGAAGTCAGAAGTCAGTCCCGCTTTTACTGCTGGGTGTGTTTGTGTGTGTGTGTTGGTGTCCTATGGTCATTCTGTTTCTCTCTGTGGATAAGAATTATGTCTGAAATGATGACCAAGAGATTGTCATGGATGAAGCTAATTTACTTGTTTCATAAATATGATCTTTTCAATGGCTTTCAGAGATCTGGCTGACCAGCCTCCTACCTAAATCCTGTTGATTTATAATCAAACTGTATGGTAAAATAAATACATCCTACAAAAGCAGATGAAAAATATTCAACCCAGATTAGATTGATTTTACTGTTTGATGGAAATGTTTATATTTATCATCAGTGCATGTTTTCTTTCTTTCAGAACCATATTTTGTTCATGCGGTAGATTATGGTAACTATATCTACTTCTTCTTTCGGGAAATTGCAGTGGAATATCACAGTATGGGGAAGGTAAGGAGAATAACCTTGAAATGAGAGCTATAAATCACAATAACAAGGTCACTGTTGTGAGAAATATTCTGCTGCTCATGCCAAATTTTGGTAGGAATGAAGCATGGTGTTATCTTGATATAAAACACCTTTCATATGATGGTTTAGGGATAGTGGGAGTTCTACAAATCTGAAGGGCACCAGATTAGGGAAAATCTAATATAAAATAGATTGGCTTGGAATGATGACAAGTTTTTTTTTAAAAAAAAAAAAAAAGACCGTCATTAAACTGGACAACATATGGCAAATTGATTTAATTCAAAGCTCCAAATAATCCACAGCAAGACTGACTTTAAAGCAAGGGAGCAGCTGCATTTGAAAGACCTTCCTTGAACAGCAGAAGTAAATGAGGAAAAATTTCAGTCTTGCCATGTAATAAAGCACAATGAAAGCCTTTACTGAAAAGACCTTTTAAGGAATATTTCCACAATAAAAGGCTTACAAGGTTAAAAAGGAGAAAGCATGAATAAAAGCTTGATGAGTCTTCCATATTTTTTTAAATAAAATATGCTGGGGATATGGGACTCCGGCTGCCAGTATGGACCACGTGGATTGCAAATACAGAATGTCCTTTTGTTTGTAGGAAGAGAAAGCTGAGTGGCCTGCATAGAAATGAGTTTTACATGGGCTGAGAATGAATCTCCTGAAGGATTTATGGCTGGATATGAAATGTCAGAAGCTTATCTTTCATAGCACACAGTTCCAAAGCTGAATTTTGTTCTGTTTGTTATTTGTCACAGATTATAGGAAACTGGAGATCTAATTAAGCATCCAGTTCTGCCAATTCTGCTTTTTTTAAAGAAGGAAAAGGCAGAATTCCAGTAAAAATATATTACAGATTTTTTATTCCCCTTTCCGCATTGCAGGTGGTTTTCCCCAGAGTAGCTCGAGTTTGCAAGAATGACATGGGTGGATCTCAACGAGTACTAGAAAAGCAGTGGACTTCCTTCCTGAAGGCACGATTGAACTGTTCAGTACCTGGTGATTCGCATTTCTATTTCAACATACTGCAGGCAGTTACCGATGTTACCCAAGTTAATGGCCGGGACATTGTTTTAGCAACTTTTTCTACTCCTTATAACAGGTAATGGTTTTAATAGAGAATGACTGTTTTCAACCCACTTGATAATATTGCTTTAAATAAAGAGAAACAGGTTATTAAATACTAACTTGCATAAAATATCAGTAAAAGCATCTTTAACTTGATATTGCAATCAAGAATTTTGTGATCTTTCAGCTTTTTTATGATCTTTCAGCTTACACTAATTAGTTGAGAAGAATACACAAAATAGAAGTCTTTCAATACATTAGACTTTTTTGTTTCCCTCCCGTTTTTCCTTGTAGCCATTAGGAAAATCATCTTATTATTACTAACTTGCACAGCTCATTTTCTTCTTATTGTTGAGAATGGGTTTTTTTCTGCCTGTTCTCCTAAAATTTCAGAAAGATCCAAAAAGCCAGGAAAAAGTATTGGCAATGCACTTTTGGAGTGAGGTTTTTTTTTTGTTTTGTTTTTAGTTAAAATATTTTGAAGGTACTTGTCAAAATCTTCTACTGCATTGCTTACATGCATGTTTGTCTAATTGTCAATGGGGAATCTGTAGCTAAAACTCAGGGTGCATAAATTTTGAACTCACTTATTCCCTGTTTCATGTATGGTGTTTACACACCATAAAAGGCAACTGATAATATCTGATTTGAAATAATCACAAGCCATCTCACATGACATTCAGGCTCTAAGAACTATGGTTTGCCAAGCTTTGATTAGAATAGATAATAATCACAGATTACTGTTTGCTTGAAGTTATTTTCACTATTTAAAATTTAAAGAAACAACACTTTTTCAAATTAAATTGTCATGGGAAGCCTTTAGTGTTGATCTACTAGTGCATAAAACAAAAGACAGGTGAAAAGGTGAAAATTCATTCATATACTGGAGGGCTGCATAACATTGTCACTATGACACATGTTCAGTTTGTGGAGCTTGCCAATGGCTGCATGGGGCCTTTGACAAGGGTATAAAGTGAAAAGTGTATGTGTCCAGAATAAAAACAACATGCTTTCTAAAAAAAAAATATGATTCAATTTTTTAATAAGATGATATCTATTCTACCACTCAGACCTCTCTTTGTAAAATCATCTTTTAATTCACTACAGTTAATTTTGGTCCACTTCCTGAACATTGGCAGAAGCTGAAAAGGGGATGGACAAATGTCATGAGAAGCCAGTTTCCTTTGAGGATCTCATTTCAAACTTTTTCTGTCTTTCAATCTTTCTGAACCTATTTCCACAATAACAATTTCTTCCAAAATATAAACGATTTTATTTATCCTTTATAGGGTTTCCAGTTTGTTGCATTACCACATAAAGTATTGTGAGATGCTTATGGACAAAACTGAACAATTATTGTATTACAATGAGCTGACTATGTACTATAACAATATCAGCAGGCTATTTTGGAGATGGCAGGCTTTTGGGAGCTGGGAAAAAAAAAGACCTTTCTTTCAACCTTTGAACAACTCAAGGAATTTAATCATGATATTGCTGGAAAAAGGCTGGAGTTTTAAAAAGCCAAATAATGGTGAAAAACTGCAGCTGTCCTAATGCACACAGTTTTGTTCTTCGTGAAAGAAATATATCAAAAATTGTACCATTAAAACCTAGTATTTCATTACCCATTTCAGGAGCATCTTCATTACATGGGATCAATAATATAATACATTCATTATAGTTTGGTTCATAATTAGTAATAGTGGCAAGATCATATATGTGGGCAATTATGTATTTTTTTTCCTTTCTTAAATATGAGAGGGTATTTTTGTGAACTTTCCTTGTGCAAATTGTATCTACATTTGGAGTTCATGTATCATACACAAAAGAAGATGTGCTAATTTGTGGTGTGTAAGAATTAAATGGCGTGAGTCACTGAAGCTTCAGCTCTAACCATTTTGTAGTGTGTGAAACAATTCTCAAGTATGTCTGGCACAACTCATTGCAAGCATCCTCTGCTCAGGCACTATTAAAAACAAATGGAGTTTGTAGGCAGAACAATGCATTCCTACACAAGCTCTAGCAGATTGTACTCGTTGTGAATCACAGGGAAATAGAGCATGCCAAGGAAAATCATTCTCCTTCCTCATGGACATGAGTTTCCTTCCTTCTAATGGATATCCCTTTCTTGTACAATGCCCAGCACAACAGATGGCTTGAATGTGGCTATGTCCTTTGCTTTCTATTATGTAGAACAACAACAACAAAAAAAGATGAAATAATAGGAGTAATTCTGATATCAGGTATTAAAAGGCATTAAAAGCATTCCCTTATCCCTTAATTTGTGTAAGCACTAGTAACCCATCTTACACTTCTTCATTTATAGAAAAATACTAAAATATCTTGTTCTTATTCTGTGGAAAACTTTAGCTAATTAAAGTAAATTTAGCACCGCGATAAAACCTATTTCCTTCCCATGTCATCTTTTATGCAAGATATTTGAAGGAAAGAGGAAGGTAGTTAGTATACTCAAACATCATTGCATGTTTTGGTGTATTCATATACCACTGCATTTTGGCTACCTGAAGTCAGAGGATGATCTCAGCAAAGTTAATAAATCTCTTGTCATTTTGCATTGGGATGAAATGCAGGCAACATGGCATAATAGGACCTATTGAGAATCAAATTAAAGCAGCTGCTTTGGGAATGTTTAAGGCATGAATTGAAAATACTATTCAGCCAAACACAAGGAATAGACATATTTTGTTTGGAAGGCAATCATTGTTCAAAATTACTGGTAAATGTATTTAGCCAAAAGAGGGCAGAAGGAAAAGAAGAAGGATTTAAAAGACTTGGTAGAATTTGGTCTAACTTTGTTTAAATGTTTCCTTGTTGCATCTTTAACCAATCTTCAGATTTATTGTTCCTGCAGAATTAATTTAATTAGTAAAGAACTTGGCTTTCCATCTGGAGCTGTTGTCACCTATTACTGAAGTAGACTGCTCTCCACTATTACATTTGTAAACTTCTTGATTCTAGCATTTTGTCACATTTTATAAAGTACAAGTCATAATTATGGAGATGTTTGGATATTTGATCATATCATCTTTGTAAATAAAAATTATTTAACATATAGTCAGATAGTACTTATTATCTGATCAGAAGCATGTAGCTTAAGTCAGACACAAAAGTAATGTAGCAGACTGGGTAAGCAATAAAAACAGACCAATAAATAATTCATACATGAAAACCATCAACAAAAAATCTTTTCCAGAAATGTTTGTGTAAGACTGTAATTATATTTGATGATTACTATTATTGTGTTACATGCAAATAATCTAAATTTAAATTGGATTGGGAGTAAGATGAAACTGCATTTGCTTCTTTACAGTTGACTGAATTAAGCAAATCCCTGTTCATAGGAATTCAACCAGAAACATCCAGGAAAATGGAATGACACAACTTCAACAGCCAAATAGGTTGTGACTGAGCAATGTGCATCTCTGCAAAATATACCTGCTCCAACACATGAACGTTTTCTAGAATTCAACTAGATAACCACCAAGGGCTCAGACAGTATCACACTGAGCATGTGTTCAATTTTCAACATCAGTTTCTTCCAGAAAGAGGTTATAACTTGATAATACAGTAATTTCTTAGTTCAAGTTACAGGAATATATCTCCACATCTTGGGAGTCATCAGAATTATTACTGTGCTATTACATTTTAAAATCTTTTGAAGATGAAAACTGATAGAAATTGGCTGCCCACTGAATGTTTCAATAGAAATGTCTTCATAAGGCAACCTTTTACTGTCAATGCCAAGAGGTTGCAAGATTCAGAAATGAATGACCTATGACAGGAAGGCTTCTGTGCTGTATGTTCCTCAGACCAAAAAGAAAAAAAGAGAGAAAAATGCATAATTTCAGAATGAGTAACTATTTCTGGAAATGTCACATTGCAGCATCCCTGGCTCTGCGGTCTGCGCTTATGATATTCTCGACATTGCCAGTGTTTTTACTGGAAGATTCAAAGAACAAAAGTCTCCAGATTCAATATGGACACCAGTTCCTGATGAAAGAGTGCCGAAACCCAGGTATATTTCTTTGTTACATGCACAGTAATGCCAGGACTGGAAGCCCTTTGGTTTTCATTTCATGGGAGACTTAAGATATAGTGTAAATACAAGAGTTGAGAACTGGAGGCAAAGAGAGAAGCAACCAGTGTGGTTCATACAAAGACAAAATCTAGGACCTCTCATCCTTGATAAAGGATTTGGTCAGGCAAATGAGGAAAACTGGGGTAAGCAAGCAACCAATCTGTATAATTTATTTTTAGAATAGGAAAACTCAATGCTTTCCCTAACAAAAATATCAAGGTAAAAATTTGGCATACAATGACAATGGCTCAGTGTAGATAATTCTCAGTCATCCTCATTAATAGGCAGAAATAATAGGTTAATTGCACCAGCAATAGAAATGATTATCTGCAAACATGATACATTTATTGTCAGGTAAGATAAGGTACATTCTTTTTTAATTCTAATTTTTAATCATGTATGTATGTATGTATGTATGTATGTATGTATGTATGTATGTATGTATTTCTCCTCAGCCGGGTATTTTCCTATGTAAACCAAGGAGAAATACACATAAAAGGCCTACGATAAGAGAAGAAAATAAATACTTGACCTCTACGGGGAGAAAACATATGATGAGGGTATGGCTAACTGATGAGGACTAATTACTCCAAAATAGGTCTATATTAGTCTCCCAATAGGCAGAAAAATGCTTGTTTGCTTTCTGAAAAAGCTAGAACTAGTGGATGGGATTTCACTGAGATATGGCTGCCTTTTGAAAATCTTGGTTTATATATGTGTGTGTGTGTGTATATATACACACATACATTGATATAATTTTCATTATTAAAAAAGGAAAGCAAGCAATACTACAAGACAAATGGAAGCAAATGTATTGATTTATTGCTTTTGATCTTAACCTACAGAGAGGAATTGCTCATTTTTGTTTCAACTTCTTTCTTTGTAATTTTTTTTTTAATTTAGTCACTTCTGTTTTGCCCTTCACTGATTCTAATGACAGCCTCTACAGTTTTCTCATGTACGCATTGTTTGTGTAATGGTAGAGATCTTTCATAATCCAATACTGTTAGCTTTGTAAATTGTGACTGCATATATCACACTTATAATTTATAAAGAATATAGAGTTTTTATATTTAATTCAAATGTACTTGTAGTTATTCAGCTTATATTGATTTGCAGGAGTTTACCTAACCCAGTGTTTCTCAAGCTGGGCCGCTGGACGATGTGTGGACTTCAACTCCCAGAATTCCCCAGCCAGCTCTGGCTGGGGAATTCTGGGAGTTGAAGTCCACACATCGTCCAGCGGCCCAGCTTGAGAAACACTGCCCTAACCCCTCAGTTCAAAGTCTGGACAATCAGCATTACTGCAAACAAGAAAAAAACTACAGTAAAAGGAGCCAAGAGTAGGGCATAGTCAGCAAAAGAAAAGAGCCCAATTGCCATAAAATATGGGGAGATTCCAGGAATAAACTGAGCATATTTGTACTGTAATCCAAAATGGATGATACTGTGTCTTATTATTAAAAGGCCCTACATATTAATGCTTTAATGGCTTAAGTTTTCATGCTGTCAAAAATAAAATATTCTTGGGAAGCATAGAAAAGAGGATGCTTGCTCTTTGCTGCTGACTACATTTACCCTCCAAGCTGTGTATTTAAAGCAGCTTGATATTAGGCTTTTGGGGGTAGGGGGGGATGTAAAAACTTTCTTCTGCATTCAGCATAGTTATCTTAATTCTAAGAGACTTAAATTTGAAATATGCCTTAAAAATAAACAGAACATTGCCAGACTGTGTGTTTGTTGGCGTACCATGTGGGTAGATGAACTGTGAGCACATCTTTACAAAAACTTACAAATTTAATATTCTGTTAAATATGCTTATATTTACTAATAGTCCTAAATATAGCATTCACGGAAGTGACTGCCAAATGCTGAGCTAGGATCATGGAAAGACTATAGACCAAAGACAAAATACAAGATAGCATCAGTTGGAAGCTTTACGTATTGGTTGGGTTTCTTCTACAAAGCCTCTGGCATATTCTCAGCTAATAACAGATGCTTATGAAAACAGCTTGTCCAGAATATTTGCACCAAGAAGCAACATAATCATATTTCCTTCCAACCTGTTTTTGATTTAGGCCAGGTTCCTGTGCAGGCTCCAGTTCACTTGAAAAATACACATCCTCCAATGAATTTCCAGATGACACCCTAAATTTCATCAAGACACATTCTCTCATGGATGAAGCAGTACCATCAGTTGTCAACAAGCCATGGTTTCTCCGCACTATGGTTAGGTAAATAACTTTTCTTCCTATTTCTTTCAGTAGGGGTTCTGTTCTACCCCCAAATTTGAAATTGCATTGTAATTTAGAACTCACGCATGTCTGTCCTGGTTCTCAATAACCTAGGATTTTAACTGATAATTGATGATTAAGCAAAAATGAGAATTAAAGATACCGTAATTAAGCAAACAAGACAGTCCTGGGTTCCTAAAATCAGCACTGGGAACAATATTACTTAAAATATTGTTGTAAAATAATCTGAAGTCAGGGTATTAAAGGAAGTAAGTATACAGAATGATCAAATTATTTAAAAGCCTTTGAGGAGATTTAATAGAATCTCTCTAAAATGAACTGACTATATTGTAAAATCTAATTCTGTAATAGACAGACTATTAAAGTAGCCAATTATGACATGTTTTAAGTTTTTATGAGCAAGAATAGGCATGAGGTAATTGTCATAGTGTCGTTCGATAGATAGTAGTGACTAGAAAAATGTTACTAATTTTTAGCAGGTTTCCCTCAAACCATATTTCAAAGGAAATACTAACTTCTGTGTTTACATTTGAGTCATAATTTTAAATGACTCCAATAGAAAATTCTGAATAAAATAATCGGGTAGCTGAAGGAAACATTGGCCGGATGTAAAATTTCTATGGGATGTTTTCAGGATGTACTGAGGTCTGTCAGGATATGTTAAGGAAGGTTCAATATTTATACAAATGTTCAGAGGGTAATGTTGACATCCAAATACTCATGTCTCAGCATAAGAAAAGAAATAATACTTTCCTCCTTCAAGATTGTATAAACCAACAGCGTTCAGAATCTGTAAATTGGAGTTTCTGGAAAATATACCAGCTGATATGTAAACTTCATTTTACAAGTAGATTTACACCTTGCTGTATTCATACATATTCACAAGTATGCAAGTGTTTACTTATTTTAAGATATGTCTGGGTGGGGAAAGGGTTTATACAGTTGGAAGAAACTGGTTTTCTGATTAAGAATCCAACAACAGTAAAATATGCTGATCATTATTTTCACATTGCAAAACACAAGCTTTGCACATATGCGTGCCCTACATTCTGTATTACCACAGCTGTGCAGTATTTTGATTCAAACCAGATAAAGGTATTGCATATTGCTCCTTCAAGAAACTGCTTTGAGAATGAAAGTGCCTGATCCAAAACAACTTTTGTCAGAGAGAGAGAAAGTTATAATCTGTCAACTGTTCAGATGTGTTGTAAAGCACTGAACAAATACATAAATTTGAAAACCAGCTAAACCTGGTTTTATGCCGAGAAAAGAATATCTGTGAAAGGGCAGAATTGTGCTTATATCTGAATAGATTTTAAAAAGAGACTATTGTAGTGATTATAATGTTGTCATTCCAGATACCGCTTGACGAAAATTGCTGTAGATAATGCTGCTGGCCCAAATCAAAACCATACTGTGGTTTTTCTTGGATCAGAAAAAGGAATTATTTTGAAGTTCTTGGTCAGGACAGGAAACAGTGGTTTTCTAAATGACAGCCTTTTCCTGGAGGAGATGAGCATTTACAACTCTGAAAAGTGTGTATCTTTCTTTTATTACATTATTTAGCAACAAGTTAGTTCTGAATTCCTATCTATTGCTTTTTTTCTGAGTGGAGAGAATGCATAGGGCAGTGATGGCTAACCTTTTTGCCATCACGTGCCAAAAGTGGGGGGGTTTGTCATGTGCACTTGTGCCCACACCCATAATTCTATGCACCCGGCCCCCCTGCGCATGTGCACGCGATGCCCTTGCACTCCCCCCGCTTTTGGCATGCGATGGCATGGTGGGCCCGGTAGGCCCGTTTTTCGCCCTCCCCAGGCTCCAGAGGCTTTCTTGGAACCTGGGGAGGGCAAAAACAGCCTTCCCCACCCCCACTCCCGGAAGCCCTCTGGAAGCTGGAAATGCCCCATTTGCTGACTTCCAATGGGCCTAGAAGGCCCGAAAATCAGCTAGCTGGTGCGCATATGCTGAGCTCCCGTGCCCACTGATATGGCTCCAGGTGCCACCTGTGGCACGCGTGCCATAGGTTCGCCATCACGGGCCTAGGGCAATTATTTTTAATTATTTATTTTTAAATATAGTATTCTCTTTTATATTGCTATAGATTTATGAAAAAAAAGATTAAAACCAATACTTCTCAGCAAATAATTATACTACAGACAGGATTATATACAGATATGTAGATAAAATGCAAATAGTAGAATGTGAGGCATTCAAAGAGACTCTTTCTCATCCATGAGAAAATTATTTGGGATTTTGTTTGAACTTCACTCCAGTTGTAACTGTGCATCAATATTATCTTTCAACAATCACTTCCTGTTTCCACTTCCATTTTTTAAGAATAATTAAATACTTCTATTTTTTATTTTTAATATATCAAATATTCTAGTTGAATATCTCATATGAAAGGCAGCATGTGTTTGTTTGTGTGCAAGGTGTGGATGTGCACCTACTTAGACTGAGGGTGAAGGAGCGAACTAGATATTTTGGCCAAGCCTAAAACTCCATATATTTTTCCATGTGGAAAATAAAAAGCAATGCTATTCCCTTTCTTGATTTATGATAGCTGTAAGTTAGGATATTCTCCAAAATATGATTCAATCATATGATGGTTCTAGAGAAAAAGGTGAGGAATAGATCCTTTCCTCCAGAGGTGAAATCCAGCAGGTTCAGACAGGTTCTGGAAAACTGGTAGTGGAAATTTTGAATAGTTCAGAGAACTGGTAGCGGAAATTTTAAATAGTTCGGAGAACTGGCAAATGCCACCTCTGGCTGGCCCCAGAGTGGGGTGGGAATGGAGATTTTGCAGTATCCTTCCCCTGGAGTGGGATGGGAATGGAGATTTTGCAGTATCCTTCCCCTGCCATTCCCACCAAGCCACGCCCACAGAACCAGTAGTAAAAAAATTTGAATTTCACCTCTGCTTTCCTCCCACCCATTCTCCAGCACCTTCTTCCATTGGTTGCCTCAGACCATACCAGAAAGGAAACAAATCATAACTGTGGCTCTCCAGCAACTTACATTACCTCCCATCTCTTTGGCACACTCCATCAAATCAAACATTCGGTTCATATAATAAAGAATTTAAATTAGGTTATCCAAATATATTAGCTAAATGAAATATGTATATGTGCCTGATTTTATTCTATTTTATATTTTTTTTATAATCAAAGTTTTCAAGACTAATGGAAATGACTATTCAACCCATTCATCCAAATTAGGTGCAGCTATGATGGCGTGGAGGACAAGAGAATTATGGGTATGCAACTGGACAAGCAAAGCCGTGCTCTCTATGTAGCATTTTCAAACTGTTTGATAAGAGTGCCTCTGGGAAGATGTGAGCGTCATGGCAAATGCAAAAAGTATGTATTCCTCAGTATCACTTCCTTTATACTGAATGTTGATACTGACACAGAAGTAATAATAACAAGGGATCTACAGAATGATTTGTACATGTTTCCTCTATTAAGGGCCTGCATAGCTTCTAGGGACCCATACTGTGGATGGATGAAAGAAAGTGGAGCATGCATGCAGCTTCTACCTGGAGCAACGTAAGTTTGAGTTGGCCATGGGAGAATGTATTTATGTCAATTATAATACTGAGCAATATTCTTTTGAACCTTTGTTAGAAGCTTCACTGAAAACCTACAGACATGCATGCTTCTTATTGTCCCTGCTTCCAGAGTGGTATTTCAGGCGGACTTCTTATTAGGGCTATGCAATAGTTTGGATTCAATAAGTTCTGTTTCCTTTAATCAAATACAAAAAACAAGCCACATTCTAAATTGAGATGAGAATTGTAAAGGTTCTATTACTATACATCTTCATCATTACAAAATTGTTATAAGAAACTAATGCTGTGTTAGCCCAACACAGGATTGACCTAGGTCTGACGGTGCTTAGTTTTTTCATCTAGCTCAAAAGATCTTCTCAAGACAGATCAGATTGTTCTCATTTTTTTCCAGCTCAAGACTAACACTGACCTGCTAGTCTTGAACATTTTCTGTCTTCTCTTTTGGAGCATGACTCTTGGATGCCCTCTGATTTTAGAAAATAAGTGCTGCTGTGTTCAGGTTTGCCAAGTTTTTAGCAAGCTTGCCAAGTAATTATAACAGCATAAAGTCTAACCTTAACCCTAACTCTGTCATGTTTGTTATTTGTATGCTATTTGGAGAGGTTTATATGGGGAGCGATAAAAAATATTACTGGTGTTATTCATGATGTGTGAATTGTTTTACCAGTAATCTATCTGCCCCAATTTTCACCAGTTGTTTTCAAAGATCACTTCAGAGTGTCCTGCAATAATTTAATTGATTGGTGACCAAACCATGAGTGGTACATATGGAGTTGCAACAGGTGCATCAGCTAAAGCATGGTAAATGTCTTCCTGGCCAGAGCTTCTATCTGTTGTTTGAGAAGGACTTGAAAGTCCATCAGGGCTCTTAAGTTACAATTCATGTCTCTTTTTTTTTTTGAGGGCATAAACCCTTTCAGACAAACTGCTAGAGTCACTGTTATCAAATCATTTACATGTTTACTGACAGCAGCTCCATCTTGTTAGGATTTGAGTTTGTTTTGCCCCATCCAGATTCTTATAGCCTATCAAATATCACCTGCAAATAGCAGTTGAGAAGTATCTGGATGGTTTCTTACTTATTTTGGATATCAAAGGACAGCTATATATCTTAACATTCATCTACCCCTATATCTCTATCTCTCCCCAAACACCCACACATGCATTCCATTTGAAAAATAGCTTCAGTAATTCTCCCTCAGTCTGAAGACTCTTGTATCTCTGCTCATCTTTGAGTTTGGAAAAGTTTGAGACATACTGGGAATGAGTTGCATGGAGAAGTATTACCCTGTTTCCCCAAAAATAAGACCTCCCGGGATAATAAGCCCAATCGGGCTTTTGAGCGCATGTGCTAAAATAAGCCCCTCCTGAAAATAAGCCCTCCCCAAAAATACCCACTCACCCCCCGAAAATATTAAAACGCATGCAAAGCCGTCCCCGCCATTGCCTCTGGTTAGGATTAGGGAGACAGAATCTGGAAATCAGGTAAGACGGCAAGAGGAGCCCCATCTTGCTCCACGTGCCACAAAATAATAAAACCTCCCCAAAAAATAAGGCCAAGCGCTTATTTCAGGATTCAAAAAAACATATGACTGGGTCTTATTTTCGGGGAAACACGGTACTGATGAATATTTCATCCTCCTTTCCTTCATATGTGTGTGAAGTCATATAGTCAAGGTGGAGGAAAAAGCTTTTAATACAATCTTATATTTTTAAAGAAAAATATTCATATAGACATGTTCTCCTAAAGGAATAACTGAAAAGTCAAGCAAAATGAATTATTTTGTCCTTTCATTGTGCAACTACTAAAAATATAAATTCTTCTCTTATTTGTTTTGTTATCTGTATGAATTCTGTGTGGTGGGACACATGTGTATTCATGCTACTCTCTGCTTCTTTCTGTTGTTTAGATTGGCCTTTGAGCAGGACATCGAGCATGGCAATACTGATGGCTTGGGTGACTGCCAAAGTAAGCAAAAGCATTTTACTCCTTTATTTTAATTTTACATGAGAGAAACTGTATAAACGTCTCAGTGCTGTTAATTCAGAATCAGCGATGGCAGAAATTATAAGAAAAAAAAATCATAGCAATAATGGAAACAGTGCAAGGCAATTGACTTTGTTTTAAAAAAGGAAACATTTTAAGGAAATGGGGTTTACAAAAATACCATATGTTCAAAGGGCAATCATTTTGGAATTAAAATCTAGCTCTGAAGAAAAATTAGAAATTTCCCTTAAGATGTGTGTCAAACATGAATTAATGATGGTGATTGCTTTTGAAGTTTGAACAAGAAAGTAGAGTTATGAAGCCATCAGGAAGGAAAACACATATTTAACAAAAAAGATCCAGTTCTTTCATCTTTATGTTTTACGTGTGAGTAAAATCAGAATCCCTGACTTTCATATTATGACACAGGAGTGAGTTCTTTCAAAACTTGATTAAGATATACCTCAATACTACTTAATTTGAACCATGGTTATCTTTTTGGCAACAGTAATACAATCACAAAATTCAGATTTAGCTTAAACAGTGGAACAGCAATATAGGTATCCATGATGACCCTGGATTTCATCTACCAACCTTCAGATTTTGATGAGGATGATTACAACAACAACAATGACAATCAAATATATAAAAATCTTTATGTTCTTATCTGGAGTTTCATGATATTTTTGCCACTTTTAAAATTATTGTTTGGGGATGGGGGTTATGACATTATGCAAAATGATGTGTAAAAACTTGTAGTGCAAAGGTTTTCTGTCTTAAGTCAAAGACTTCACCAGACAAACGTATTGCACTTATTGGAGCCTAAGAAGATGGGAGAAGATTCTGGCATTTGCTGTTGATCCCATATTATTGTTGTTACCACTGTTGTTGTTCTAATTATTACCATAATGATCATTGCCATTCTCTTCGGCCCACCATTTTGTCTTCTCTAGAATTCTTTAGAATTGATATTAAATCATTCTCAACTACTGTGGGTGAAACAGAACACCATTCTATATTTTTGCAGGATAAAGCAGTCAAGCTTGAAGTTTGGCAAATATTAGCTTCCCTACCCCAAGCGTTTCAGATTATTGGAGAAAAATCAAAGGACATCTATATGTCTTTCAATCTTGATACATCAAAAGAAGAAAACTAATTTAAAAATAGTTTTTATTTCCATTATTATTATTATTATTATTATTATTATTATTATTATTATTAAAAATGGTCCTAAAATAGGAAATAGTGGAAGGGTTGGCACTTTGTCCCTGGGTCTCATAGACTCAAATCTCTTTGGCTAAATACAATAAATTTTCATGCAGAAGAACAGCTGGCTCTGATTGGAGCGACAATCTTCTGCAGAACAAAAAACTTGAAATGTCTGGGGGGGGGAAGGAGGTTTTTTTGGATCTTCTAAAAACTCTCCTTTCCTGCCAGAATTGTTCACTTCTAATCATCAGCCCTGTGAAGGTGAAATAAACATATATTCATAGTTGAATTCCAGCTACAGATGTTTAATGCAAATGTACATTTGTTTAATGCTACTTTAAACAAATAAGTGATTTATTTTGACTTGGATTATATTTGTTCTTGGAAACTTTTAGTTTGCCGTTTTCCTTATGCTACAGTTTTACATTAGCTCTATTTATCTTATATTGTCATTTTAATATTTCGAGATTTCAATGCTTTTTCTGTGTTTGTGGTTACATTCATTTTTGCATTCACAGCAACAGAAAAATAGCATACCAGTTAGGCTTCGTGAATGGGAAGAATGAGTTGGAGGGTGAGCCAAGGTTTATTTTAAGTGAATAGGGTTAAATATGGGTAAAAAGAAAATGGGCACAAAAATAGCAACTATATTAAGTAAATCTGTTGACTGCTTAAGATAACATTAATGGTAGAACAGTGATCTTCATCTGAAAGAATACATTTAGAGTACAAAGGATGGAAAACTGAGAATTGGGTTCCAAAGTGAGTTCAATTTATGTGATTCATTTCTCTTAAGAACATCTTTGAAACAGTTGAAAGTTCAATATTTAGAAATTTACAAAGCATTTTAAATGCAGCCCTTCTAAATAAGATAGTCAAACTTTACTGTGTTACAGCGCTGTTTCAATTTTAAGGAAAATATATCAACCTCTATATAAGCCAAAGTTATTTGTTTCTTGTTTGCTTGCTTGCTTGCTTGCTTTTACCTTAAAATGGGATGAAAACAATTCAAGGTCAGACAATTCCAGTCAGACTGGCAGAGTATGAGATTGCTTCTTATTAGATCAGAACAGCTGCCTTGAGTTGAAGTATGAAATTTACTCTAATACATATATAGGTAGACATTATAGCAAGATTAGAGCATATATAGTTGATGTTTTCCAGTGTGCATGTCTGAGAAGGTCAGATGTCTTATTTATAAAAAATGAAATTAAACTATTGCAAAAAAAAAAAAGCACAACTGTAACTAATCATAAGCATTCTCTGAGAGTAATTAAATGCTTTTAAAAAATCATACACTTCTCCACCTTAGCGTTTTCCATAGAAGGAATTCAAGAAATCTCAACCAGAAATCCAACTCAGTATGATCAACGTTATACTAGTTATAGTTGAAACCATCTGGATAGCACTACAAAGTTAAAAAGTCTGTTGAATGTTAAGAGTTAAACTGAGATTTGCAGTTGGCAGTTTCCCTTTCTGGCTTTTCACTATTCCAGTTTTACAGGATTCTAAATATTATTTTTTTTCCTTTATTCTGCTATCTTTAATCTAAAAGATCACAGTAATCTTGTTGCAGAATAAGAAAATGCAGATAACATAAACTAATTATAAAATATCCTTGAGATTTTTTTTAAAAAGAAGAGTAACATTTAACATTCAAAACTCATAAACTCATTAACTCCTTAAAATTGGCCTATTGGCATTAACCTCAAAAGAAACATTTAGAGGTGTATATGCCAAAAGTCTTTTAAATTATAGCTTCTGTGCCAAGACTTCTCACAAACCAGCCAATTCTTAATTCCTTTGACAACAATTAAGGATAACTCAAGGTACATTGTGATAACATTTTAAGTATTTTTCTTCATAACGTTAATTATTTTAATTAATTAAAATGGAAAGAAAGTTATACAATGTGTGATTTTACAAAGAAAAAAAATGATTCATTATATATTTGACATATATCTAGTCTGACCTAAACAAGCATCCAATATATGAAGATTTTGAGAAATTTACATAGAGACTCAAACCTTTCATTCAAATCCTAAGCATATTAATCCACAAATAGACTAAATTGATTCTGAAATCCATGAGAGGTCTTTAAATATGGCTTGAGTTCCATAATGTCTTCAGGTTGCATCAAAAATATCAAAATAATAGCCACATCTGTGCAAACCTCATCGCTTTTTTATTTACATCACAAAACACATAAAAAGGATGGTACCATGGTTACAGCTGCCATCTTGATTTTCTCACTATCATCACTGCTCAGGTTTGTCATCTTTAAATATATTTTCACTACTTGATTTGTTCAAGTAGTAAAATCATTCCTATTCAAATAATCACACGGAGGCTCGAAAATTATTATATGAACTATAATACATATTGTCAGGATTTATGTATGTTTTATAAAAGCTGTTTGTATAATTTGATAAATAAAACTTAGATGCTTAATAGACAGTGACTCACAGCCAATGTCACTTTTTAGATATGGTAACACTAGCACTCATATTTTATATAGTATCTTATAAATAATTATTACAATTTGATTTTAAAGAGTGAGCCTATCTCTCTTCTCACCTATCTCCAGGACAAGGAATCTGGAAGCTATTTCGCATTTTGCAAAATAATGATTTATGAATACTAAATAAGGTTCTTTACACTAGGATAGTCCCATTAGATAGCTGTAATTGGACTGTTCTTGTATAAGATAGTCCTCAACTTAAGACCACTGTTGAGACTGGAATAAAGCAGTTGTTAAGCAAAACATTAAAACACTCTTTCCAAGGCCAGCATTAATGTGAATTGTCATTAAGCAAAAGGGTGTAAATCAAGGACTATCTGTATAATCCTAGTCTTTCTACCCCATGTAAAGTTTATCTAGTACTTTAAAATGAAAACTGATTAATTTTCTTGGATTCAGTGTTGCTTATAATGGAATTGGAAACAAAGATTTTTCATTACATACCTCTCTTTCTTTGCATAGAAGCTTAAATGGATTTTAAATTCCAAACCTACATTCTGTCAAAATAAATATGATTGTTTGAAGTGCTTGATATTTAGCCATATACAATAAGGAACATAGCTAATCTGAAGAGATATATTTTCCTGTAACACTATAGGCTCCTATTTTTTAATGTTCCTTGGAAGAAGTTAGCCTTTTACAGATATTAGGGTACTTAACACAGCTTACTCAATGGAAAATGCTGCTTGTGGTTCAGAATTAGTTCTGGTTTTCAAGGCCTTAATACACTTAAAGCTTTTTAAGCTCAGAACATTAATACATTGAAGAAGAAAGATCACTACAGCATATATTATTTTTCTATCCTGCCTATCTTTTATTTTTTCCAATTTCTCCTTTATTGGAACTCAGTCGGGTGTGTATTTCTATCTTGATTGGAGAGTGTATGTTCTTAGAACATCAGCACTTCGAAAGTTCACAAGACAAAAGGAGTATCTCAGAACAGAATTCTTTTTGCTGGGGATGAGGGATATCTCAGTTTTAGATACTAGAGCCATGATGGCGAACCTATGGCACACGTGCCCAAAGTGGCACGTGGAGCCATGTTGCCTGGCACGTGCGGCATCGCCCATTCCTCTTCCAGATTTCTGGCGCTCATGCACATGCGATAATAAGCTGGCCTTTGTCAGATGATCATTGGCAGTACTGGAAACCTGAAGAGTTGGTCTTCCAGTTTCTGGCGTGAGCATGCATGGCGGCCAGCTGATCAGCGTGTGCGCATGTATGGCAGTAACCAGAAGACTTGCTGACCTGCGCGCATGCATGTGCCGGAAACAGGGACTACCTTATCAGGTGCGCGCATGCCCCATGGGCAGCTCCTCTTCCTGGTTGCAGCCCTGACGAGCATGCATGCACGTGCGATGTGCTCCCATTTCGGCACTTGGTGCTGAAAAGGTTTGCCATCACTGTACTAGAGAATTACACTGTATGATTTACAGTAGTTAGGACTAATTATGAGATGCATGTGTTTGTTTGGAAGGCCTAAATGGCCCACCCAATGTTACCCAAGATGCCTGTACAAGCATTCCTTTATATTTAGATGATCTGCTACATCTCAGGTGCTGTTTCTCTTAAATTGAACTTTGATCATGCCAAGATAATGTTGTGGTTACAGCAATTGTGGTAAAATGAGTCAGATTGATAATTTCAATATTTTAATATGAAATAAATAGTTTAACACAGAAATGTGTAGTGTTAAGAGTGACAATCCTCAGCTCAGAATCCCATTGAAGCTAACATTTTAATGGTCTCTGTATAAAATAAGAAGATACATTATGGAAGAAAGCTTTTAGGTTTCTTCTGATCCAAGAAGATGTGTATAACATATATAAGGCACTGATTCTAGTCTTCCTAAAGAGTTTCTATCTGAGATTACGTGGTACTGATTTTCCCACTGCCTGGAGTCAAACAGAAGGTCCCCCTCAAATGCAGGATTCATTGCTTAATTCAAGATCCTTATGTTTTTCTTTAAAAACAATCTCCCCTCCAGCTTTTTTTTAAGTTCAGTAAAAATATTCCAAAATGTTATGAGAAAATCCATTCTGATAGGCTGATCTCAAGACTCAATGTTGTCAAAATATCATCAAACAGTAGCAACGATGTATGTAAATTAGTACCTGTGAAAGAGAATTTAATGATATTAGAAATAATTCTTTCCCTTTCCCTCCTTTTCCTTCTCCTTCCTCTCCTTTTTCTTTTTTCAGATTCGTTCGTAGCACTGAATGGTAAGGAAATTCCCTAATAATTTTGTATGAATACCTGTCTGTGCAGATCAGTTTCAAATGAATCAATGTTTACAAACTTGTCAAATATTTCCATATTTTCATTGTTTTTAATATTGTGCAATTTTTTTCATAGACATTTCAGCTCCATCATCAGATCATGAAATGTCTTACACTACAGTGTATGGTCAGTTTATGGATTTTTCAAATAATCTTTGTTCCATGTCATTATGTTAGTTTCAATCCTACAGCTGATAGTATCATTTCCATTTTGTGGCCTAGTTCACCTAAACTGATACAAAATTCCATTAAACCCCGAATTATTAAAATTACTTCAGTCATTTCCTTATGGGAAATCTTCCACTGAACTTACTGTAAATTCAAGTCATGTAGCTTAGAAATGTTTGGACCCCACAAAATTTTTTTTTAATAAAATCTCTAAGAGAGTGGCAGCTTTATTCTCCAGAGCAAGATCTAAGGGCTATAAATACAGTATATTTCAGTGTTCAAACTGTATCAAAATTCATAATTTGATACATTACAATTAACAGCACTACAATTTATGGGACCAAATAAAAACATTTTGTGATGTTGGTCCAGAATCCTTTGTACGTGATTGAAAAGGGGATAGAAAGAGGGATTTGTATATATGGGAGGGGTATTAAAATACATGACATATATTTATTTATTTATTTTATTTATTAATCAAATTACTAGAGCTGTTTATTTCAGCAAGGGGCATCTTGGGGTGGTAAATAAAAACAATAAGAACAATATATAAAACAAAAAAAATTAAAGAACTTTATTAATAAATATCAGAAAAGTGAAAAAATAGGAGAGGGAAAGTTTTTAAAAAAGCCACCTCAACAATGGAGCCATCTGAGCAGGTGCACAATCACATGGAAGTGCGCAGGTCCGGGATCCTCCGTATCTCCGGAGGGAGCTTGTTCCAGATGGCGGGTGCCCCCACAGAGAAGGCTCTCCCCCTGGGGCCACCAGTCGACATTGTTTGGCCGACGGCACCCTGAGGAGCCCCTCTCTATGGGAGCGTACTGGTCGGTGAGAGGCTACTGGTGGCAGAAGGCAGTTTCGTAGATACCCTGGTCCTAAGCCATGGAGCGCTCTAAAGGTGGTAACCAAAACCTTGAAGCGCACCCGGAAGACCACCGGAAGCCAGTGCAGCTCGCGCAGGAGGGGGGTCAAATGGGTATTGGTTGGTCAATGTATTATTAAGAAGATATTTTTCTACATTGTATGCTCAAATGAACAGCAGCATTATGAGAAAACTGAATGTTGAAAAGAAGAACAGTTTGACTTTGTGAGTCTGGTATAGTTTGGATAAATAGCAATTCAGCTATACCATTTTGCTTTTAAACTGCTTGTACCCAAAAGGTTTATAATGTTCTTGTAAATAAACTTGTCATTGATACACAAATAAGGTAGCTATTTATGAAAGCTGTTTGTTTGAGTAGTACTAGGTCTACAATGACAGCCAGTTTGGTGTAGTAGTTGAGGCACCAGGCTAGAAACCAGGAGACTTGAGTTTTAGTCCTGCCTTAGGAACAAAGCTATCTGGGTAACCTTGGGCTATTCACTTTCTCTCAACTCTGGGAAGAAGGCAATGGCAAACTATTCCAAAAATGTTGGCAAGAAAATTGCAGGATCTAGTCCATGTGGTCACCAGGAGTCAACACTGACTCAAAGTCACCCAAAAGTGGAGAGACATGCTACAACATCCAGGTTGTAAACATCTGGGTGACCCACCTACAAGCAGCAAAAATGATAGAACTAGGTGGATGGAACCAAATTAAGTTCCATGTAACTCAAATAAAAGGATTATTTGGAGGATATAGACAACACAACATGCAATTACATTATTCATTTTTTTTCAACAGAATTAATTAGCACTCCCAGCTTTGGAAGGGAACAATCTACAAAAAATTAGTATTCATCCAGTACGGTCTAGTATTCTCCGAGACCGTAAAAACAGATGTTTAGGACAAAAATATGGGAAATGAAGGGGAGAGAAATAAGGGTAATTCTTATCTGAGTAGCATTTGCTTGCTCACCCTGGATTCTAATCATCATAGTCTTTTAATCTGCAACTTTCCCTTAAGAAGTGTACTTCCTAGATAACATATTATGCATGATAATTGATATTTTAGTAAACATTTAAATATTTCTTCCCAAATAACAAATTCATATCACTTGGACTTGCTGTCTGTAGTTTATTAGCACAAAATTCATAGTATGTATACAGTTGAATCCAACATCTTCTTCTATAATGTGTGGGATTTTTTAAACAGATTTCTACTAAAAAAAGTATTTTGTCAATTTTTTTCTAAATTCTGAAACAATACATAACTTAAGCAATTAATTTTAAGGAGAAGCAGGCAACAGAGCTATTCTCACATGGCATTGCAACTTCCCCAAGGCTAACTGAATAGATATGGTATCATATAATTCTTAGCGGATGATTGCATAAAAGCAAAAATGTAAGTATGTTTCCAAAACAAGAGAGAAGCACCTCAATCAAGAAAGACATTGTGGTTTTTAAATTTTGGCCATTGAACTGTTGGCAGAAGATGAAATTTCAACCGCCACTTTGATCACTTGCCAAATTTAAAATGATTACAGTTGTACACATTTCAAAACCAATTTGGAAAAATTGCTTTGTCACTTAAGATCAGCACCTTTAATCAAAGCAGCTGGATTTTTTTTCCGGCTTCAATATAAACCTGAAAAAAGGTATGGATGCTTTAATGAGTTGAATTGATCTCAACCCTTAAAACAACTTTTTAGCATCTATTATATAGCATTTGTTCAGAATTATTTTAAAGTAAAAATAAAATATTTTTTTATTTTTCAAGCTCTTTTCTTGTATAATATTAAAGCTAAATATCACAGTAGTGGCAGTCATCCTATAGTGTAATCCTACAGCTAGAAGAAGTAAATATCACTAAATTCAACTAGTTTATTTCCCATCAGTTGGTATAACCCTTCTTAAGATAAATCTATTTATGACATCTAACATGCAATTGTTTTATTTGTAAATACTTTTTTCTATTTCAACCATGTAAAAGTAGAAAATTATTTAAATAATTAAGAAATTATGTCTGTTTGAGTAAACATTCATGTAGGTCTTTTGGCTTATATCCTGGGGAACCAAGTACAGTGATAGAAGGACATGCCATAGCATATTTCCAAATGCCAGGCATAGATGTTTTTACTGACAGTAGTCACTTCCCTGGTTATTTAGTCTCATTTTTGGCCTCTCCACTGGAAGATCAAACTCCAGTAGTTTTTTTTTATGAAACTCTGCTACAAGTACAAAAGGCTGCACATTTGACTTTTTCTGCATGGTGATTTCCCACCTCCAAACTAACCATGCTAGCTGAGCAACCTGTTCGGTCAAGAAGCCAACTGCATGTGCATATGAACTGAAGGATGGATACAACAGGCTATCTTCCTGTAAGACTTTGTTCTTATCTTCATCAGTTTTAGTGAACCAAGCCTTCATAGTACATTTGCATTCTCCCTCTCTCTGCACTGATAATTTAACTTTCTTAGTTCCTTTAGTTGCTGAAGTCACTTAACAAAATAATGCATTGGGCATTTGAATACCTGCCATCTTGCAACATATAACTAACTACTTTATGATAAATTTTCCAAATCCTTACCTTTCAGTGCTCTAACAAAATCTAATTTCTCTTTTCTGTACTACTCTATTACTGAACTATATAAATTGTATTGTTGCTATAAAATATATGATGCAAACCTCTAAATCAGGTTGATGAAAAGCCCATAAAGAGTGTATTTTTAAAAATTGACAGAACAGTTATGTTTCAGAAATAATATTGATACTCATTACTAACAATTCATATATATATATGTCTGTCTGTCTGTATGTATGTATGTATGTATGTATGTATGTATGTATGTATGTATATACCATGTTTCCCCAAAAATAAGACCCTGTCTTATATTTTTTTGAACCCTGAAATAAGTGCTTGGCCTTATTGCCATGCACTCAAAACCCGATTGGGCTTATTATCAGGGGATGTCTTATTTTGGGGAAAACAGAGTATATGTATGTATGTATGTATGTATGTATTTATATGTATGTATGTAGGAAAATTGCATTTAAATCCATATAAGTTTCAAATTGAGGAAAGTTTCAGCTGCTTAATACAAATATGATTGTGTGTGCATTTCAATTGCTGTATTCCACGGATAACTAACAAACAATAAAAAGGACTTCTTAGACACCTTTAAAGCTATAATTTTGAAAGTTGCAAGTAATAATTCAATACTATAGAGGGATTACAGGCAGTGGTGGGTTGCTACCGGTTCGCACTGGTTCGCAAGAACTGGTAGTAAAAATTTGTAGTAGTTCGGAGAACTGGTAATAACATTGGCTGGCCACGCCCCCTAACCGGTCCCCGGCCCGGTCGCCGTTCACTTACCCTGCCCACCTCATCAGAGGCTTTTTTTTTTTTTTACTTTTAAAAGCATTTTTTCTACAACCTCTTCAGCCAAAAAAATGCTTTTAAAAGTTAAAAAAAAAAGGCTCTGATGATCGCGCAGCTCAGCTGGGATCGCCAGAGGCTTTTAAAGGCATTTTTTTTTCTACAACCTTTTCGGCCGAAGAGGTTGTAGAGAAAAAAAATGCCTTTAAAAGCCTCTGGCTATTCCAGCTGAGTTGCCTGATCGTCAGAGGCTCCTAAAAGCCTATTTTCTGCAACCTCTTAAGGTTGTAGAAAAAATGCTTTTAAAAGTAAAAACAAAAAAAGTTGACCATGCCCACCCAGTCACATTACCCCCCCCCAGCCACAACCACAAAATAAGCCACGCCCACAAAACCGGTAGTAAAAAATTTTAGAACCCACCCCTGATTACAGGTGGTCCTTGATATACAGCAGTTCATTTAGTGACCAAAGTTACAACGGCAGTGAAAAGAATGACTTATGACCATTTTTCACACTTATGACCATTGAAGTATCCCCAAGGTCACGTGATCAAAATTCAGACGATTGACAATTGGTTCATATTTATGACAGTTGCAGGTATACTGGGGTCATGTGAATGTCTTTTTTAACCTTCTGATAAGCAGTCAATGGGAAAGCCAGATTCAATTAACAACCGGGTTGCTAACTTAACAACTGCAATGATTCATTTAACAACTGTGGCAAGAAAAGTTGTAAAGTGGGGCAAAACTCACTTAACAAATGTCTCGCTTAGCACAGGAATTTTGGGTTCAATTGTGGTCATAAGTCGAGAACTACCGGTATATTTTATAGTCCGAAATGTATGCAATGTAACTGCATCATAAAAGATGTAAAAGTATAAATCACTAGCCAAACATCTGTTAAACCATTAAGAAGAACTCAGGCAGCACTTTTAGCCAATAACTTTGTTTAAAATCCTAAAAAGCTGTTTATGTTATCAGCATTTTGCTCAATGAACTGTGATCTGACTTGGCAATAAGTAATTTCTTATGTGCTGCATAGAAATGCATATAAATAATGAATATCACAGTTTTGTGTTAACCCAATATTCCAAGGATGAGCCAAAAGAACTAGCTTGCTAATGCAAAGCCAGATCAAAAGCGGCCAGTTAGAAAACTGCCAAAGGGGAGTTTTGGATTCACTCCTTATGTTGATCAATAAATCTAGGCCATTTTCAGAAATAGATGTTCATATTCTGGGTCCATTGCTTAAAATCAGAAAGCATATGTAAAATTGAAAATATATCACTACACTCATTAGAACCAACATTCTTCATGAAATGACAAATTCCACATTTTAAAAATATTGTTCAGCATCACATAAAGATCCTTGACTATAATTTGCAGTCCCAAACTTGTACTGACGAATGCAGTATTTGAAATCAAAATAAGGCTGTTCTTGAACAAGATCTGATCATATGTTAAAGTACCTTCAAATTTATTACATATAAAATGAACATTTACAAAATCTAATGTCCATACCTTTTCAAATATTCTTTGAGGTCCTCCAGTAAATACGAAATATTTCCTGATAAATTACTTTTATTTTTAAATCATAAGAAGGGTATCTCATATTTTTTTCACACCTGCACCCAAAACAGGATATTTCAATTTTTCATTCCACAACTGAGATATATAACTAATATTAACTTTCATTTTACTTTTTTAATTCTTTATAAATTTATAAATTATTAATTACCATTCAAGCTCTGCTTGTCTTAAACATCCTAAAACTTCAGGTAGCTTAATGTCTCTTAAACCATCCAGGCCATACCAGTTAATCAAAATGTTTACAATTTGCATCTATGGCAAATAAAATAGAATAGAATAGAATAGAATAGAATAGAATAGAATAGAATAGAATAATGTTATTGTCACTTCGAATGTATACTAATTGGCATACATGAAAATGAAATTTCGTTGTATAAAACTCTCAAAGGGTCTCCACCTCTAATACACTACATAAACATGACTAAATAAATAAATAAATACAAAATTATGCATATACCCATATATATTATATGACAAGAGAATATTATAGGTAAGTCATATTCAACATGCAGTCTCTCAAAGTTTAAAGCAACCATTAGAAATAAACTGATCTAAAGTGTTGATCCTTTATCTAGCCCAAGCATTCCAGTAAAACATTCCACACTATCTCCAATATTATTTCACACTGTCTGTTTCTTGTGTAATTCAGGATCAAACTGTAATCACATACCTATTAATAACCAAATCTTCCTGGCAGCTTCTCAGATTGGAAATAAAGATCCTTGTTTAGTGTACTTCGACCCTAGCATTTGCCAAAATTTCTGAGGTGTTACACACTTACTTTCCAAATAGGCCCTAATGTATTAGTAACAGAGAGAAAAGCCTGAATTTCCACATTTGTGTAAAGCTCTTTCTAGTTCTGCTACCACCTGGTACCCATTAATTTTTTTTTTTATAGCTATAGCTTTCCATTATCACTGAGTTCTGCATATAGCTGAAGCATATGGTTTGTCCCTTGGGTAAATATTTCCTCTAGATTATCACATTAAGAAAAAAGGTTTTACTGATATGAACAGATTAAACATAAAATCACCTATAGAACTCAGCTAAGATGTCTGTATTGGATGTGGAGCAAAATGCATTTCAAATCCAGATATAAAATATAAGTGCTGTTTGTCAATAGTCACGTACACTTCTAATTCTTTTGGAAACAATTGCTTTCTTGTGCTGAGAGCCACATCCCATTTAAAGATAAATAAGATGTAAATGTTAGGACTGTACAGAATTACTTGAGAGAAGGCTGGGTGAAAAACTCACGAAACATTTTTTTTTCTGGTAATTGTGTTCTTAAAACTATGGGTAAAGATGAACATGAAACATGGTATTCAGCATAAGGATGATTCCTTATCAGTATGATATCAAAACAACATTCCTTCTGTATTTGCATGCAACCTATATTCCCCCCATTCCCCAAGGATCTCTGTGAGATTCAATTTTAGGGATATTAGTTGCAGTAATCCCACTTACATAGAAGTCACGTTTTCCATTTTTTTAAAATAGTAACTAAGGCCTGAAGCCAAGATTCAGTTCCTGCTTTGCAATCATCTTTGAATTATGTTTCCAAATAACTTGTAGATAAATAACAGGAAGTTTATTTTCTTTAGCTCCCCATTTTTATATTTAAGGAATTATAATTTTGATAGTTATATAATAGTTTAATATTATAATATTCTGTAAAGTCTGATTATTAGTTCTGAGTCTTCAGTGTTAATGGGACCTAATGAATTTAGACTTACGATAAAAAAAATAATAATATAGTTTAGTGCTCACACTGACAAGTGCTCTTGTCAGTGTGAGTTCCAGGCTTAAGAACAATCTATTATATCAGGGATTAGGTTTTGTTCCTGATAATTCCAGCCAAAATGAAACTCTTTGAATCTGACTTGATTTCCTGTATCTAGTTAGTATGCCAGGAATGGCAAGAGTTCTTTAATTGTAGAAAAAAAATCCTATATAAATTGTATGAGAAGCATTAGTATTAATTCCCTAAATTCTGATGCTGAGCAGAGATAAGCAATCTGGGCAGATGTTTTGGGCTTCAGTTAGTACAAGCTTTAGCCTGAAGATTTTTGAAAACAATAAAGACCCCAGGAAACCTGACTGATACTTTACAAATCCTGCTGGTTTGTCTCACATCCTTCCCCTTTGCCCTTTAGCTACCTACAGCTTTCGTCCTTCTCTCTACTCTGTATTATTTAGTCCACTGGATTTTCCAAAACTGCTGTAGGGCCTGATCATCCAAAAGAAAGCCACATCACTTTGTGTTAGTGAGGTTAATGTTATCTTTTGAAGCAAGACCAAAAATGCACATTAGGTAAATGAAAGGTTTTGCACTGGATGTCTGATCTGCAAAATAAAAGCTCATTGTCTACCTTCCATTGTAACTTTTTATTCCAGTTAATGTAATCCTCTCACGATAATAAGCTAACTTTGAAATTTTTGTTTTGTATCGATTTTGTTACCTGCTGCAGCATTTGGCTTCCAGTGGCTGGAGGATAGGTAGCAAAAGGAGATAGGTGTCCCCCATGCATAAGACCTTGTGGTGGCTACTTGTTGTTTTCTGAGAATAAGTCATTTTTAAGTAGAGTTGACCAACATTGATTGGATCTTTATTCTCAACTTGTATTTCATGAGATTCTTTGGCTTAATTCTCTTCCACATTTCATTTGAAAGCATTTTTTATGATGGGCTGCAACAGCTCTAGTACCCACTTTTTAGAAAGAACCATATAAGGCCTCTTTTGTTTTAAGGATACAGCTCACACTATTTTTTTTTTTTTTACTTAAATCTGTGCAACAGAACACAACAGAACATGGCTCCTCCCTTGGCTGCTCTCCCAGTGACTAGTGAGCCACTGTTGGATTTATTGTCTGCTACATATAGTTTCCTTGCATTCTTTATTTTATTTTTACTGATTTTAAAATGGTAAGCCATCCAGAATTGTTTGGACTCAGTCACTTTCTTCATCGTACTATTTATATATTTATAAATAATTCTACTTCGTATAATAACCCCAAAAATATGCAATCATCTGATAGCGTGGAAAGACGGGATATAAACAATAAGGAACAATGGAACAAAAAGGGCTAATTCTTTGTAGCCCTTTGCTTAAGTTGAAAAACCGTCTGCAAAAGATGATGGCCCAGATTATAGTCAGGTATGGCTTGGGATATGAGATGGCAGAAAGACAAAGAAGAGTTGGAGAGGGAACAAGTTTGCTTCACATTTTGGTTTCTGGCCCCACCCATTGGTGTGGGCCTGTAGCTTTGGGAAAAAATGTTTTTTTCCTTAGACTCCTAAATCAGTTTTTAATTATATTAAAGTCTATAAGAGTCCATGTTATTTTGTTTTGTTTGATTCTGCTCATATCCATGAGCTCTCCTCACATTTCAGAATGTTCTACTGGTTTCAGCCACCATTTTGTTTTGCATAATTGTAGGATTATTACACAAATAATTAGGAGTTACACATACACATTTTATTTGTACATAAATCAACTTACGGGTAATTCATGTAACTCACAGATTATCCTATCTTTCTGTCCAATGTTGTCCTGCGTGTTCCAGATGTCAGCAGAGTTTTGATTTATAAGAGCTCAGATTCCTTCCTTGATCTAGACATAGAAACACCTTTGGAAATGTTACTTGCTACTAAACTGCTTGTTCTTACTGTCCTTAACTGTATTTATGGTGCAAACAGGACACTCCAGTTCGCTACTTCCCAGCATGTCTACTTCAGACTCTCCAGGCCAACAGGGTTATGATGCCGGAGGGCACATATTAAATTGGAAGGATCACATTGGCTCATCTGAGAATATCAATCCATATGTGGCTGTCTCGTCCCATAATCACCAAGAGAAAAAGGGTAAGGCCTTGGAAATCATTCTTCCTGTGGGGGCAAGGGCGGGGGACTGACTTTAGTGTAACTGCTTCCAGCTACTGCATGGTACCATGAAATAAAAGTCCTTATTCTGCTATTAAAAGTGTATCTCACACATATATAAACACACCAAAATGAAGCATTTAAAAAAATAAATAAATAAAATTTTATTCTAGCCATTCAGTGGCAATGAAAAACCACACACAACAAATGCAAGACTATATGTTTGAGCATGTTTTGATACAAGATTGGAAGGTTTAATTCAGCTCAGATGATAATTGCGATGATAACAATGATGATACTAAAATATAAGACTTGGCTTTACATTAATCCCTACTTGCACTTCCAGTGGAGTAGAGTGCATAAAAGTACTTTTTGTTTTTAATTAATTTAAGCAGCAAGTTCAACCATGAATTAACATTAAAAAAATAATCATTTGATATTAAAGGTATACTCTACAAGAGATTCTACAATTCAAATTCAACTGAAACGATATTCAGCTTGAAGTAGCTCCATTCATTTTGAAAGAAATTTTCTGAGCAGATTATGCTTGAAGGAATTAAAAACAGAGTTGCTGATGAATGGCCACAGTAAAATGCCACTTTGGTTGGGCTTTTCTTTATCTCTGGTTAAAAAAGAAATAATTTAGTGGAGGGGGTTCATTTCTATGTTGGCTTTTTAAATTTCAGTTTCAGAGTTATATTAAGTTTTTAAGCTCTTTAAATTCTCCATTAAGAGAATTATCAGCTAAATTAGCATATTCCTTTTCAGGTAGGTAATCTAAAGCAGCAGTATATCTTTATATGTGATTAATATTTTTCATTAAAAGTTAGAATGGGCTACTACCAAGCCATGAAAGAGCACATATTTAATATATAGAGAAAAGGGGCTTTGAGATGCATCAGTTACTGCTAACTCCAACCTTACTCTTACGGAAAAGAATCTGCTAATTTTCAAATGGAATGATTGTGATCATAAATGCTCAGATCATGAAAATATCAGTCCAGCCTCACCAGTTCAGTAATGCTTCTCAACAGGTAGCTTTAACCAATCTCTAACCAACCAGTCTCTACATTTAAAAGATGAGAATTACAAAATTGATAAAGGTATTTTGTTTTATGTGGTTTTTTAAAAATATTTTACGGCAGTTGTCTTAATGGACAGGCTATCTACTTTTTCACTTCAAATTTCAAATCTTTGGTGAATTTATCATAAGTGGAAAGCTGATTGGATCATAATTATTTTGACTTGAAATTCTCTGAATGAAATTACCAGAGGGAATTTGTCAGAACTTAACTAGCTTATTTAAATATCATGGAATCTTTGGGGTCTAATTAGGAATATTAACAAAGCTGGAAGCAGTCTGTACACGTTAAAGCAAGCAAACAATGGTGGCAGAGGTGTCTGCATGGTTGTTTACCATTATCACATATCTTTGTGCTCTTCTTCCTTCCTTTGCCCACCTCAGTTCCACTTGCAGCAAAACAAACCAACAATATGTTGCACAGCCCAAACCTACTTGCAGCTTATTCCTTGTTCAAGGGCAAAGGAAAGAGACATTAAACACTTTCTAAAGAGAGTGTTATGCTTAATCTTCTGTGTGTTCAGTTTGGTTGTGGATTTATTTTCTTGCAAATATCTTTTTTTGTGCCTTGAATTTTTGTTTTGCAAAATGCTTTTGGTGATTTGTTTTGTTTTGTTATTCTTGTGAAAGGTGCTTTTCTTTACTTTGTTTCACACACTTCAAAAATGACTTGCCTTTAATTGTACTAATTCTTCAGTCACTTGCTGCTTTGTTTCCAATGCCACTGATGCCTTGATGATGTCACATCCATATGTTCAGCTTTTCAATTCTACGCAAATATCTCATGGGAATATCTTGAGAAGGAGGGGCTAATTAAATGGGTTTTACTCATGGGAATGTGACATTTGTGCACACTGCAGCTTTAGTCGCTAAATATACTCCAGAAGTGCTGTTGAGAGAAGGCCTCACAATTCTTGGCAAGATGAAAAACAAAGAGTGCGATATGTACCATATAAACTCTGTGTTGCCTTTCTTCTTTCTGGTTTGAATTTTGACCACTGAAAAATCTCTCCCATTATGCAACAATGCTGCTCATTTGAATTGGCAAAAATTTACAACTTCTGCTATCACATACTTTTCCGGAGTATGCTTTTTGTTCGTTGTTTTGATTCGGTTTTCTTTTGCTTTTTACGTTATTTGCAGTGTTCTTTTATTTCTGTCTGTCCTCATTTTTATTAAAGCTTGTATTTCTCACATAGCACTCTACTAACCTTCCCTCCTGCTACCATTGTACATAGTCTTTCCCCCTGCCTGCTTCCATAACAGAAAATCCTTCTTGTGGAATTTCCAAGGCTCAACTCTATTTAGAATGAAGTAGTATTTAACTGCTGTGTTTAAATATCCTACTAACTGGAAGAATGTAAAAGAAGAAAGTAGAATAATATTCTCTAGCAATAACAAGTCATTACTGTTTTGTTGCCTACTGTCACTTGTCTGTTACTCCTTTTTCTTCATTAGAAATCCCTGATATATATTGTGTTCTCCGGTTGTTGTTTGTGGTGTAGATCTCTCAAGCTTTTCTTTTAAAGCCAGAAACTCAAGCATAGATACAGGTCCAACTTTGTTATATATATTTTCTAAAGTTGTACTGATCCCATCATGCAAACAATGGAACAATTTGGGCTTTTCTACAGGCTTTTGAAAAAATCAATTCTGAAATTGATTAAAGGAAAGTTATCTTTGGTCAAAGTAATCCTGACAATTTCTTTCAAAGCATGAGGTTAAACAGTCTAATCACAGTGTTTCTCACATTTGGCTCTGTTAGCTCATTTTTACAATTTACTCTTCAAATAAGAGATTTAGACTCAAGAGTGGAATTATTTTGGGGCTCCAGTCACATTTGACCTAAAAGAAGCAATCAATTAAAATAAATCCATTATTTTACAAAAGGTAAATTTGAAGTAAATTCATAGCTAAGTCAAAATTATTTACAGTCATTTTGAAGTCCCATGGACATTTAAAGTCTGAGAAATTGAGTATAAACATAACAGTAATACATATTATGAAGTTTGTGTCACATTCAAAAAGCTTGTTCAAACTTTTTCCCATTTTTTCAATATTAAAAAAATTATATATTTGTTTATAATCCTGCCTTTATTATTTTTACAAATAATTCAAAGTGGTGAACATATCCAACACACTTTTCCCCTCTTATTTTTCCCTCAACAACAACCCTGTGAGGGGAGGTGGGCTGAGAGAGAGTGACTGGCCAAGGTCACCCAGCTGGTTTTTAAAGCTAAAACGGAACTAGAACTCACAGTCTCCTGCTTTATAGCCCAGTGCCTTAATCACTGGACCTAATTGATTCTCATAATAATGACAAAGTACACATAAAAAGCAGCTTAAAATCAAATTCCTGTAACTTACAAGAGGAAACGCAATCTCCTCAATGTGTGCGTTTTGTGTGTATGATGAGAACAGGACAACTTTAAAAAAAAATATGAGGTGTTCAAACTTATATTTGCACAGTGAGTACCATATTCCGTGGTACTCTACTTCCTCTCTTAAAGCTGCATGGAAAATGTAATAGTGCCAAGGAAGCTGAACTAATAAAGTGAAAGTGTTTTTAACGAAGGATCAGAAAAAGATGATAGCCAAATCTTCCAAGCAGCTGTATATCTGAAAAGAGGAAAAAGGTATTTCTTACTCCTTTTCTTGGGTTTCTTGTGCTTGGGTTTTTGTGCTAGTAAATTTCACTTTCATTATTGTATTTAAGGATATTAAAAATGTCTGCATATTATCTGTTAATGACTGCTAACCAAGTCATGTTTTAATATCTTTATTTTTATGGTTTTAAAGTCACTTATAGATTTCAGTTAAAAGGGTGTTGGAAATTACATTTCCAAGGTCATCTGAATACTTTGCAGGCCATTTAGGATATGTAAAATTGATAAAAGAACCAAATAAAATCTGTCAGGCCAAATGGCAACTTTATAATCAATTCCATCTTTGAAGGCCAAGGAACCACGACTAATTTTTAAGATGCATGTGGCTGGAGTCATTCTTATTTTTAGTAAACCATTTTGACAACCAACATCAAAAGCAAACCCTTGAGTATGTGACATTAAAGAAGAAGGCAAATTTTCTTCTTTGTTGTGTGGATTTTACAGCAGTGAGTTTCTCACGCTTGAGGTGGTGGGGTTTCCAAGTAGCCTAACAGAGCAGAATTAGTCTGACTATTTCCACCGTTTCTTCAACATCTGGCAGGAATCTATAATTAGAATCCAAGTAATAACTTATACGTATTTGCTTTTTATTGAATTGCATGAACTGCCTTACATTTAACGTATTACATCCTCTTTCAGATCAAGACATAAATGTCTTTACTGTTTATAGTGAAGCAGAAGTTTGTTTAAATTAAATAACACCCTATAGTATCCTTTTTCCTCGGTATATCCTTTGATTAATAACTGTACAATTCTTGTAAACATCTTTCATGTATGTCATAAAAGGTTTATTTTTAAGTAGGAGATTTAAGCCAAAGTGGAAAAATATATTTAAAGCAAAACATTTATATGAGACAATAGAAAAGCAGCTATATTTGACAATATGGAAAACTGACATAAATCTTGCCTAAAAGCAGTATTCTACAACTGTATATATAGTATGGTTTTACTGTGAGAACAGAAATACACCCATACCAATTTATTATGAAGATGAAAATCTATACAAAGACTACAAGATAACACTATCACAGGCTACACAATTACAGAGCATTCCATCAACCAGCAGTCCATATTCAAATTGGACAAACGAATGTATATGTCATCTTATTTAGGATTAGTAGATAAACATATGCATGCATACATTATATGTATGTATGTATGTATGTATTCCATCAGTAAGAGGGTGACTCCCAAATTGATACAACTAGGTGTTTGGTTGAAATCTAAAATTTGGA